CTCTCGCCATGGGCTTGGTCGAGGACGTTCTCGAGTATGTCAACCTCAAGGTGGTAGTCATCTTCAGCGTTGCGGCATGGTGGTTGTGGATCGCTGTTCGACGTTTCGATGAAACTATTCGACTGCGCCGTTTGGCGCCCGGTGTTCGAGGACAACCGCTTGAGTCTCGCCTACCTGGTGGTAAGTGCCGTCTACTTGACTTGGACTGCTCACTGGCTGTGAGACGGACAAGTATACCGTTTTGGGCCATTGTTCACTTGCAAACCCCCAGGCATCGACTTCATCTACAAGGCTGTCCGCGCGACCATGAATCACAAAAACGTCGAGTTCTGGACCGACAGGCTCTCCGTGGTAAAGGGATGGACCGGCGAGAGGAGGCTCCTCTTCGGCATGCGCATTATCTTCACCGCCGACCCCGAAAACATCAAAGCCATCCTGGCCGCTCAGTTCTCCGACTATGGCAAGGGCGAGCCTTTCCACCAGGAGTGGAACGAGTTCCTCGGCGACAGCATCTTCACCACCGACGGTGACCAGTGGCACGCCAGCCGTCAGCTCATCCGGCCACAGTTCATTAAGGATCGCGTCAGCGACCTGCACACCTTCGAGTCGCACATACAGATCCTGCTCAAGGCCATCGCCAATGGCGGCGCCCTCAACGGCGAGGACCAGCCCGTCAACATGGATGCCGTGGACGGCAAAGTCCTCGATATATCCGAGCCCTTGTTCCGTTATACCCTTGACGTCGCTACCGACTTCCTTCTGGGACAAGATGTGAAGTCGCTTTCGTAGGTGTCCCCTGTTCATGTGCACCAACCGCATCCGCACTCTAGACTAACGCGGCCCTCTGTCTCTCAGAACCCCCAGACAGGAGTTCGCCGAAGCCTTCAACGAAGTGCAGCGAGTACAGAACATCATCGCTCGCGCGTCGACGGTGCGGTTCCTTGTACCACGCTTCTCGTTTCGCTCAGGTCTCAAGGTTATCAACCGTTTCGTCAACAAGTTTATCGAGAAGGCACTACGCCTCAGCCCCGAGGAACTCGCCTCCAAGACCAAGTCCGACCAAGGCTACACCTTTCTCCACGAGCTCGCCAGCTTCACCCGCGACCGCAAAGTCCTCCGCGACCAGATCGTTGCTGTGCTTCTCGCTGGTCGCGACACTACCGCCGCAACCCTCTCCTGGGCCCTCTATGAATTGGGCCGCCACCCGGAAGCCGTTCGCAAGTTGCGTGCCGAGATCATCGAGCAGGTCGGCCTCGAGCGCGCCCCCACGTACGCCGACCTCAAGAACATGAAGTACCTCCAGAATGTCATGAACGAGACTCTGCGCCTGTACCCAGTGGTCCCCTTCAATGTCCGTCTGGCCCTTAAGGACACAACCCTCCCTGTCGGCGGCGGTCCGGACGGCACGCTTCCCTTGGCCGTCCTCAAGGACACACCGATCGGATACTCGACATTTATGATGCAGCGGCGCGAGGACCTGTACCCGCCCGTATCCGAGACCTCGGCGCATCCGAGTGAGTTCTCGCCTGAGCGGTGGTTCAACTGGCAGCCCAAGCCGTGGACATACATCCCCTTCAACGGTGGCCCGCGTATCTGCATTGGTCAGCAGTTCGCCCTGACCGAGATGGGCTACACGCTCTGCCGTTTATTCCAGAATTTCGAGAGAGTTGAGAGTTACATGGATGCAATTGATGGCGGGCATCCGAAGCTCAAGGCCGAGATTGTATTGCAGCCTGGCGATGGTGTCAAAGTGGCTTTCTGGCGCGCGGGCAAGGCGTAAGCTAGACCGAGGAACCGAGAACCCTCATGGAAAAGACACTCTTTTTTTTGCACGATGACGACTTGTGGAGAGGTGTCGGGAACGATCATCTCAACTGCGGGATCGATAATGGCAAGATGGTACCGACGGAGATCGGCTTCAAACTGTTAACAAGTGTGACGACGACGACGACGACGATGACGACGACGACGACTATAGTAGACAGGCGATCACAACAAGTAAGGAGGTTGAAATAAGTCTCCTCGCCTCAACAAGTGGCACGGGACGACCCAGCCGCAAGCTGCACACGTCTTACTGCTCACGTGGTCCAGAATCGCTAGTAGATCGAGAAGATTAGTGAAAGATACAATGGCCGTAAGTAGATGGCCGGAATATCTTAGTCGGTTGCCGCGTGCTGAGGTGAGCAGCCCTGCCAGCGTAGGCTGACTGCTGATGTGCGTGGTTCCTCTTAGATAGGATGGAGCCGTGCGTGATTGGTCCATCTGGCACAGCGTTGCAAGCACATTATTGAATACATAGGAAGGAAGGCTCTTGAGGATGCGGACCGGTCTTGGGATATTAACAAGCACGGTGCATTCGCACTAACTCTCAGTTTGTTGGATAACGTAAGAAAAAACCAGAGTCTTCGTTCCAAGTACCAATAGATTACAACTAACCTGCAAAAGTTGCCATTCTTCGTGTTGTTCATAAACTAGAGAGATCTTTGTCTATCTAGCTCTTATCCCCATTCTTTCCGTAACCGATGACCAAGTCATGCGGCATGCAATGCGAATGCGGCGTCTTATCAACATCCAACACCCTGCCGTTGAACAAACCGACTATGAGAAGCAATGCCAATCTGCCCAAACAAACAAAACAAAACAAAACAAAACGATGCTCCAACAAATGACCATTCAAAAAAGAAGACGTACAAGAAGGAAATAAATCCGAACCCCAAGGACAAGAATAAGCGACTGACTCGGAATCAGGAAAGACGGAAGCTCTCCCTGATGGCGGCGCCCAAACGCTGGATGGCCTCGTCCATGTCCTTCTCGCTGGCCGAGGCAAAGGTGGCGCGGAAGAAGAGGTTCTTGAGCGGCGTGTCTTGCTCAGTGCGGAACCACGACCCGCGGGCGCAAAGGACGCCCTTGTCGATGCAGGAGTTGAAGATCTCCTCCTCGATCTCGAGCAGCGGGCGCGAGGGGCCGTCCGGGTGGGCGGAGTGATCGATCTCGAGCCACAACTATCACGGGAGTAAGTAAGTGGGGGAAAGGTTTGTAGGGGCGCAACGAGAACAGGCCGGACGACGCATGGTTGGCCAGAAGGTGAGAATCAAGCGCGTGAGATAAAGAGCGAGAGGGATGGGGGCAAACTCACAAACATGCCGGCTACAGGCGGCGTCCAGCCCACGATGGCACGAGGGAGATGTCTCTCGCAGGCGGCCAGGAGCCAGTCGCGACGTTTCGCGTACTCCATGCTCAGGTTCATGAGCCACTGCAGGTACCCCTCGTGGCCCCATGTCTCGTCGAGTAGCTTCCACACGGCAATCTGCGAGAGGCCCGAAGGTCCCTGATTGGCGACCTCGGCGTGGCGGATGAACCTCTCGATGACCTGAGCCGAGGCCGTCACCCACCCCAGCCGCGATCCCGGCATGAGGACCTTGGAGAAGGAGTCCATCCGCAGCACGCGGCCGTCCGTGTCCATGCTCAGCAGCGAGGGGATCAGCGTGCCGAGGAACTCGGTGACGGAGGCCGGGGGAGGCGCCGAGGGCGCGTCCGGGCCGGTGTAGGGCTGCATCTGGATGAAGTAGTAGGGCTCGTCCTCGATGATGTACAGGTCATGCTTCTGCGCCACGGCGTAGATGGCCCGCCTGCGCGCGGCGGACTGCGTCGCGCCTGTAGGGTTCTGGCCCGAGGGGACGGTGTACAACAGGTGGGGTTTCCGACGGCCGCCTCGGGCTTCCGGGTCCCACTCGGTGAGGATTTCGTCCATGGCCTCCGGGAGCAGACCCTCGGCGTCGATGGGGACGCCGACGGCCTTGATGCCGAGCGGGCCGATGGTCTCGAGTGCCGTGGAGAAGCTGTACTCCTCGGTGAGGACCGAATCCCCACGGTCCTTGTCGCAGAACAGACGGAGTGTCTGCTCTAGGGCGGCAGTGCTGCCGACGGTTTGGCAGCATTGCCAGTCGGCGTAGGGGGGGTTGTAGACGAGCTCGGTGTGCTCGGTGACGAAGCGCATCATCTGCGCGGAGCCGGTGGACTGGGTGTAGTTGAGGGCGATGGAGAGGTCGTACTCTGCGCTGGGCTGCTCCGGGTCGCGGGTGTCGTACTTGCCGACGGTGAGGGTCTGGCCCGAGGCGATGGTCTCGGCTTCGGAGAAGTGCGGGGCCGTGGGAACCCGGAGGGAGAGCTCGGCGTAGGGGAAGTAGGCGCTCGAGGGGAGCCCGCCGCCGAGAGAGATAAGACCCGGTTTCTTGAGGTGGCGCGCGGCCTGTTTCAAGGAGCAAGGGTGCCGGGAGAGGGATTCCGGCGACAAGTGGTCTGGAGGCGGTGAGTGAGGTGAGTGGGAGAGAGCCGAGGCGCAAGGGAGGAAAGGGGGATTAGCTTACGGTCCCAGCGCTTTGCTGCAGACTTGCCAACGGCCTGTGGGTGAGGGTTAGCATGTTCGCAGTGAGCGTTGTGAGCTGGGAGTGTTCGACATACGGGAGCCTTGAACATGTCACTATCCGATGCCGCAGCCACGCCCGCTATCAGTTTGCCGGCCTTGGCCCTGCGTTCCCGGACGCCATCGAAAGGCGAGGGCTCCTGTCTCTTCTCGAAGGTGGCCTTCCTCTCGATGGGTGCGGCGTCCGCCACGGAGCGATCGCTGGACTTTGAGTGGAATGCCCGCTGGGCGAGTGGTACAGGAGTCACGGGGGCAGACCCCAGGCTCCGGAGCCGGAGGTCTGTAAGCCAAGCCGTCCGGGCGTTTGACAGGGAACGAGTGGCCCGCGGGAGAGAGCCATTGAGACCACGGCGAGCGGCTCTCGAGTACATGATTACCAGATCTGGTTTACTGGGGACGTGCTGAGGAGGGAGATGCGAAGGTATATCGCAATATTTATGAGGGTGTCTGGAAGTCATGTCAAGACAATGCCGTTCAACGGGAATTCGAGATAAAGGGCGTAGGGCGTCTCTGACACTCGAGGGCAGTGGGGCAGCCCGCAGCTACCCGCAGCTACCCATGCTTCCCCCGCATGGTGCTACTACTCGCCCGTAAAGTTTAGGTATTAGGGGTCCCTGACCGCTGCGGGCATAGTGGGAGGGAAAACAGCCGACGCATGCAAGTGTGCCGTGTAGAAGGGAGCCGGAAGGGGAGACCACTAGCTAGCTTGTCCGGGAAGGGAAGCGCGATGCCGGTCCCGTGGGAAGTGGGCGACGGAGGAGCAGCTCGGAGCCGGGTGGGTTCGAATGTGTTTACTTTGGTAGGTAGTTGATGAGGACCGCCGGATCCAGAACGTACGGCGTTCGTCCCGGATATTGAGGGGACGATGGCTCGGAAGCCCGAGATGGGTTGGTCGAAACATGCCGGGCAAATTCGTGGCACAGAGCCTGCAGTCAAGGACAATGATGGCATCGGCCCTTTGACGGCGGAAAGAACTCTTTCGAGTCCACTGCCAGCACACCAAGACCAAAGGCAGCGCGACGCAACGGCATCCTACCCTGGCCTCCATGCATCACAGATCGTGTCGGTGAGGTGTCACTGTTGGCTGCGTGCGGCCCCATCCGAGACACCTGTCGCTCGATAGACTCGAGCGTCACGAATCCCGGCTGCTGGCATCCACGTAGAAGCCCGGGGAACACCCCCCCCCTGCCCCATGAACGATACGAGTCCTCGCGCCCCGAGCGCCGCAGCTGTTTGTTGGCATCTTTTCCTGCCGCCTGACATTAGATGACGCCCCTTTGCAAAGTATTCATAGAGAAAGTCTTGCAGGTTTCTTTACACTGACCAAGCTGACGGGTCCAGAGCCAAGGGTTTGCGTCGGCTCCCAGCCACCCGCACCCGCCCATCCAACACCAGCCACGCTTTTTTTTTCTTTTTTTCTTTTCTTTCTCGATGCTGCGCTCTCGACCAATCACAAGCCGTAAACTCGTCCCAACCTCTCCTGATCTCAACTTTCCTCCCCGGGGAGCGGATCCAAGTTGGACGGACAACGAACAGGGCGGGACGATTACTTGCTCTTCGTGTGCTGTACGCCAAACATGTCGATTTCTCAATTTCAGTCTCCCGGCTGCCAAAACCCCACACCCTCCTACCTAGCTTAGCAGTCTAGACGGCCCGCCGCCGCATGGGTTCGGGCTTCCAAGGCCCTTGGGGACCAAGAAGAAAAGAGCCCAAGAGCCCTGCACGGCCCGATGACGCTGCTGCAGCTGCCAGTGGCTGGATCCGCCAAGGAACACTGCAGAGCCATATAACTGCATCTGCCGCTGCCATCCATCCATCACGGCCCGACCGCGTGGTGTGCTTCGTTTTCCTCCTGCTCCTCCCTACTAACGCCTCGGTCTCATTGTGTGTTGTTCGAGTGCGACGTACCACGGACTTACACGGGATCCTGGTTTGTTTCTTCTCGCCTGTGACGTCGTCAGCTCCTTGGGCCGTGACCAAACCACCCTCCCCCCCGATAGTCCGATTTGGAAGATAATATCTTCTTCAAGTGAGGGAGTTCCTCACCCCGCCTCACCTTTCCCCTTGACTTGCGAGTCTTTTGTAACACTATATCCTATTTGAATCGGTTGCCCCGGTGCGCCATAAACCCGCGAAACACGCACACACACACACACACACACACACACACACACACACACAATGCTCTTCTCAAAGGGACTACTCGCGGCCGCGGCGCTGGCAACGACGGCGTCGGCGCAGACATATTCGTCGTGCAACCCCCTCTATCAAAGTAAGCACTCTTACCGGTCGTCACAACACGAATCCTCCCCACCCTGTTGGGTCGTTGCCTGTATCTGTGTACTAACGAGCCACCTCGCCCTAGCAACATGTCCCGCAGACACGGCTCTTGGCATGGCCATCCACGTCGATTTTACCCAGGGCGCCGTCAATTCATTCGCGGCCTCTGGGAACCCTACCTACGGCAGCGACGGCGTCACCTTCTCCGTCGCTGCCTCCGGCCAGGCGCCCCAACTCATGTCGCTTTTCTACATCATGTTCGGCCGCGTCGAGATCACACTCAAGGCCGCGACCGGCGCGGGCATTGTCAGCTCCCTGGTCCTGCAGTCCGACACCCTCGATGAAATCGACCTGGAGTGGCTCGGTGCCGACCCGACCGAGGTGCAGTCCAACTACTTCGGCAAGGGTGACGTGACGACGTACAACCGCGGGCAGTTTCACCAGACAGACAACAACCAGGAAAGGTTTATGAAGTACGCCATCGACTGGACCTCGGAGCGCATCGTCTTCTCCGTCGACGACACCATTGTCCGCACCCTCACCGAGGCCGAGGCCGACGAGAACCAGTACCCGCAGACGCCGATGCGGGTCAAGTTCGGCGCCTGGTCCGGTGGCGACCCGGCCAACGCACCAGGTACTATTGCCTGGGCCCGTGGGCCGACAGACTTCAGCAAGGGGCCCTTCCATATGGTCGTCAAGGACGTCTCCATCACCGACTACTCGACCGGCAAGGAGTACAAGTACACCGACACCTCGGGCAACTGGGGCTCTATTCAGGCCGTCGGCGGCCAGATCAACGGGAACCTCGGTAAGGCGGGCCAGGTCACGTACACGGCCAGCGCTGCCGCCGAGACGGGCTCGCCCGCGCCGACGGTGCCGAGGGGTGGTATCGGCGCCGACGAGTCCGCCACCGCAACGCAGACCGGCTGGCCGTGGGTTGCTAGCGCGAGGCCGACTGGCGGCTCCGTCCCGGACGGTTGGCGCATGAACTCCGAGGGCAAAATAATTCCGGACGGCGCCGGGGCCTCAGTACGCCCTCAGTGCTTGGCCGTGTTGGCGTCTCTTGTTCTTGGTGTCGCAGTGCTTGGGCGGTAACGATTCGCGATACCCATCGGAAGAGAATTTCCGACAAATGAGAGAGGTACGAATACCTGGTCAATGGTTTGCGAGGTCTTTTCTTCTTCTTCTTCTTCTTTTTTTTTTACTCCGGCAGAGAACATATAAAAACAGCGGCTCGAGGTACATCTGGGCAGCTCTGTGCATAACAACGGCGTTTGTGTTTCTTGGGCTTTTCTGTTCTTTGGGAGCATCAACGGGGGTCGGTTGTGCATTGAATGGGACCACTGGAGGAATCCGCGCAGATGGATAGAATAGACACAGTGTATTATGTGTGGCCCTCTCAGCGAAGAGAAGGGCACAAGATGTGTTTGTACAATTGTGTTAATAATGAAATCAACTGCCTTCCCGACATATTGTACGCCGAGGTGTATCGGGGCGTGTGGGGCCGGTAGATAAAAAAGGTACATATCTCTGACCTAGGGATGTCTTGATATCAAATAATGTTAAGCGGCGTTGTGGCAGAGTGGTCTAATGCGCAAGACTAGAAATCTTGTTCCTTCGGGAGCGTCTGTTCGAATCAGGCCAACGTCGATTGTTTTGCTCTCATAAGCCTCGAACCCAGTTAATGTCGTGCTTGTTTTCACCTTTTGCCCCCCGGCATTGTTCGTCGCCACAACATTCGGTAATGTTGTGCGTGTCGTCAAGGGCGTTTAATACCGGCCGCCACGATCTCTTTTGCTGTCCCCATCGGATTCTTCACGCTACCCTGCTTCCTTTTGATCAGTAGATGGGAGAACACAAAATGCACATGACCTCTGGACGCTACGCAGCATGGAAAAAAAAAAGTCGAGTCTCCACGATACAGACTCATAGCTATAAACCAATTCTTTATTATTGTCGCTGCAATATGCCTTGATTGTTTATTATACGCTAGACATCCACACGTTAGGTAGGCAGCAATAGAAATTTGCTGCAGCAATATTCCCGTCCAACAGGCCTTAACATGCCATTCAGTTGCCTGGAAAGAAGTCACTGGGAGAAAGACAGAATTCATGACACAGCGGTGTCAGCAAGGAGACATGAAGGCCGTCTCCTTGTTACATGCCGAGGGTGGCCTTGCTGCATGGAACGTTGCACCTCAAATATGCAGGAAACTTCGTCATAACCTCAGAATACAGGCTAGTCACGCATAACGCAAACCTAGCCCTTTAGAACCAAGAGTCAAGGATCGACATACACCACATGCCCACATGCCTGAAAGGTCAGAGTTACTGTATTCGCTGTTTTGGAATTAACTAAACTGATCTAGTCTGCCGGGGGATGTATGCGGCTCTATAGCAAGTAGAAAAGAAGAAAAAAGAGCGGCCAGCAGCAAAGAGAATCTCTCTAAGCTCGCCGATTTTGAAGAAGGCTCTGTTTATCTCTGTGGCACTTCCTTTTCCCTCGCGCTGTATACATGGCGACTGTGCCGCCACTGTCACCTGTTTTATGCTCTCCCCCCGCCATCGTAAATGCCCAACGCCAGATAGCGAACTAGGGGCTTGCTGGCAGTCCGGTCTCGGACTCTGCAGTCTGTTGGCGCTAGGAGTCGAAATGCTGAAATGTCGAAATGCTTTTGGTACAAACAAATACAGTAATAAATATTGCCGAGTGACGGAAGGCTGGTGTAGTAAAGAACCCGAATGTTGGGATCAAAACTCCCAGTCATCATCTTCAACGGACTTGATGGCCCAGCTGAACTTGTCACGGAGGGTCTTCGAGAAGAACTTCTCAATAGGAACGTCGAACTTCTTTGCGAAGACGACAGTGAGGCGAGGGTCAATGTAGTTCTGACTTTCGTTAGTAGCTGTCCAGTCTCCAAAATATTCTCCACAAACACTTACAATTTTAGAGGTGCTCAAGGCGACCTCCTTGTTACCATCACGATCAGCAGCCTGTAGCTCCAAGGTCTTGACCCTGTCGTCAAACTTCTTCACCTGTTCGTCGAGTTTCTCAATTGAGGGACTTCGACCTTCCGGCTCCACCTTCTTCGACTTGTTCTCCTTCTTGAACTTCGCCGCAAGTTCATCTGCTGCCTTGAGACGCTCCTTAAGCTCCTTGTCGGGGAACGCTTTCTCTCCTTCAGCGAGGCGTTTCTCATTATCCTTCTCAAACTTCTTCGTGATCTTGCTACGCTGCTCTTCCACCAGGAATTTCTGGTGTTCAAGGATCCATTCGTCCGTCAAGTCCTCCGGACGAGCGAAGAAGTCAGCGCCCTTCTTCTTCTTCACCTTACTATCCACCTGAAGCATCATCATTTTCGTCCTCCATTGCTGGTATCGAAGACCCTTAATACGATCACCGAGCTTCTCCATCTGAGCCTCATGGGCGGCACCCACAGTGCGCTTGTGGTTGCAAAGGATGGCGACCTCACGGTTGCAGTCGTTGTAGAGCTTGACCTTCTCCGCGATCGTTAAGTTCTTGTGATCAACCAGCTTTTGAAGGAGGTTGGACATGGTAAAGGATGCGTTATAGGTACGGAAGACCTTCGCTGTCAGACCCGGCATGTAATTCTTGAGATGGTTGTTGAGCTGTGTCGTAGTCAGGCGGTCGAAGATGTCATCGCCGTCTGTCTTTGGCGGCTTCTTGAACAGCTTGAGGTTCTTGAAAACCTGCTTTTCAACCGTGACCTCGTCGTAGAACCGAATACTGTCCTTTCCGAGGAAGTCGAAGATGACGGTGTTGGGTTCTCGCAGGGTGATGTGCTCGTACTTGAGGGAGCAGCAACCGACGGTTTCGGCCTCGTTCTCAGCGTCCTTTTCGTTGCCCGCTCTGAGAGCGAACTTGTCGATCAGGTACACGGCTGTGGCTCTCTGTCGGTCAGCCATAATCTCGCTCTTGAGATCCTTGGTGTAATCTCTGCGAATCTTGTCGATGTGCTTCTTCAGCTCGCGCGCCTTCTCAAACTTCTTCATGTCACTCTGACCCTTGATGGCGCTGGCGGCACCCAGCATCACGTACTTGTAAGCGCCGTTAATGTTTTCCTGCCACATAGCCAACCAAGTAGCCTTGTTGTCGTGGACAACCGCTTTCCATTTGTGGCCCTTGGGGGGTTCCGGAACCTTGGCATCCTTGCCAATGTTGATGGTGATTTGCTCAGGATACACTCTCTTCTTGAGCTTTCCGGTCTTTGGGTGTTCGCCACGGCCGCGGAAGAGACTCGGAGGTTCGACGCGGAAGTTGCCAACCTTTTCCTTGCGTCCGTCCCACTTGCAGTACATAAACGGGGCCTCCAATTCGTCCTTCTCAGCCTTTGCCGCCTTCTTCTCCGCTGCGGACCTGTTCTTTCTGATGGCGCTCTGCTGCTCGTAGTATTGGAAAATTTGCTCAAAGTTCATCTTGGAGAACTCTTTGATGTCGACCTTGTTGCCCTGTTTGTCAGTCGCGTGGCCTGACTCCTTCAGGACAGCTTTGAAATCATCAAAGAAATTCTTTTGGAATACAGGGTTGTCGACATTGTGCTTGGAGTTCAGCATGGCTCCAAAGAAGCCGGCAACTTCCTCGGCTTCAATTGGAAGGTTGACTGGCTTCCCATCGTAAACCAGTTTGACATTCTTTGGAAGGGGTTGGTACTCGGGCGGGAACATGACTCCGTTGTGTTCCAATGTGGTCCACTTGACGCTGTCATCCTCCTTCTTGGGATCCTTCCACCACTCGTACTCCTCCTCTTCGTCTTCCTCCGGGGCCTCGCTCTCTTGCTTGGCCTTTGCGGCAGCCTTGCCTTTTGCCGCTGTAGCCTTGGCTGGGGTGGCCCTCTTCACTGCCTTTTTCGCAATGGGCTCATCGGAATCTGATTCAGCCTTCACGCCGTTCGACTTTTTCTTGGCAGATCCGGCGCCGTTCGATTGGCGCTTCTTGATCGCTGACTTGGCCAAAGGCTCATCGTCGGATGACTCGTCCTTGACAGGTTTTTTCGGTGTAGCCTTCTTTGCCTTGGCCTCGTTGGCACGGATGCTGCGAGCTTCCTTGGCGGCCGCCTTCTCGATGTCGGCCTTCTTCTTTGCAAGCCTAGCACCCAAGGGTTGGTCATCGTCGGAGGATTCGTCGGGAAGAGCCGTCTCCTTGTACGAAGGAGGTAGGTTCTTGCCCCTCCTTGAAGTGAGCGGCTCATCATCCGAATCTGTCTCTGGTGCCTTGGGCTTCGTCTTTTGTCGCTTGGCCTGAGAGCACACCATCAGCCTCGGACTCCGCCACAACCTGCCTACCATGTACAACCTACCAGAGGGGCGTCATCATCGCTCTCGGTTTCGTCCTTGTAATTGACTTTGGGCAAAGATGAACGTGACTTCCGCTTGCCATTCGTAGATGGGCCATCGACATCCATAGCATCGTCGTCCACCGGGCCATGGCGGATGGAGAGGCCAGGCGGGGCCGCTCTTGCCTTGGATGCGGTTCTATCCATGTCGATATCGTCGGCTTTCGAAATTCTCGATGCAGAAACTGCAATGAGGGAGTTAGAAAGTGGTTAAGTTTTTTCTTGGTGGTTTCGCAGGCACAGTCAAGATTGAGGGCAAGGCACGCGACGAGTCAGGTACCTGGGTTTGTGATTCGTCGTGGAGAGAGAGAAAGAGAGGGAAAAAGTGACAATCCTGGCGTAAAGTGGCAGACGCGAAAGGTAAAGCGTCTGAAAGCGCTGAAAGTTTAAGATGGTTTCTTAGCGCACTTACCGTGTCCGTTAGACCTCGCAAGAGGTGCGTCGTCGTCGGAAGAGCTCATCGTGAGGGCGAAAGGAATATGTTCGCGACGTTTATGGACGGTTAAGTAAGAACTAAATCGCAAAGTGCAAAACTGGGGCCTTGTGGAGCGGAAAAAGTTGCTATAGACGCCGATCCGCGCAGAAGAATCGCGTAGATATAGAGGCAAGAGCCGGATTGTTGGAAGGACCGCCACTTGCTTGGGTTGAAGACGCGGGGGAAAGCACCCACGTCAAGTTCGACTCGAGGAAGGAGGGCGAGGTTGTCGGGAGGAGGGAATCGAGGGAAAGGAAGCTAGGAAAGGATGGCGGGAAATTCATCGACGACCTTCTAGCCGGGAGCGAAACTTAATGGGGCTGCCCCTTGGAGTCTGGGTAAGCCAAGGAACAGTAAGCTGGCTGGGAAAGCAAGAGCCAGTCCCCGGCCTGGTACTAGTCAGCGCATGCGCCACAGTCTATGGCACGTGACCAGCCACCGGCTCCCGGTCAAACTCAGTTAGCCGGGAAAATGGATTGAGTCGGGTGCGAAATGCTAGCCAGGAGGAAAATAACCTGATCCTACCAATCTCGCTATCCCGAAGCACCGTCCGACAGCGTCAATTGATCTCGAAAGCGATCGTGATCAATTGGTCCTCACACACGGCAGAGGCTCGATCTTCTTAATACCTACCAACTCCCACAATGCTTTCCCGGGCGGCGAGACCAGCTCTGCGAGCTGCGGCTGCGGCTCCCTCGCGGTAAGTCGGAATCCACATCTTCCTGAGCTCGGAAAATCGGAGGAAAGGGACTGCACGTCAGAAGAGGCCAACGCCGACCGTCGACCATCAACGATCGAGGAAGCCAGGACGGGACATTGAAGAGGGGTCGGAGAGCGATATTGAAGAATGGATTGATATAAGAGAGCTGCGATGCTGATTAAGGCGTTGCTACAGAGTCACGGCCAGCACGCCTGCCAACGCTGCTACCTTCGCGACCCTCCGTGAGATCGAAGGCCGCCTCAAGTCGATCCGCAACATTGAGAAGATCACTAAGACGATGAAGATCGTCGCTTCGACTAAGCTCAACCGTGCTCAGAAGGCCATGACCGACTCCCGCGTCTACGGCGCTACCTCGAACCAGGTCTTCGACTCGGCTGAGACCAAGCCCCTTGAGGGTGAGGGCAAGAAGGAGCTCATCATCGTCTGCTCTTCTGACAAGGGTCTTTGCGGTGGTATTCACTCCGGTCTCTCTCGTACCATCCGCCGCCAGTTCCTCGAGAAGGACGCCACCGCCGACCTCGTCATCCTCGGCGAGAAGTGCAAGTCCCAGCTCCAGCGCACCAACGCGAAGGACATCCGCCTCAGCTTCGCCGGCGTCGGCAAGGACGTCCCCACCTTCGCTGATGCCCAGGCTATTGCCGACCAGGTCGTCCAGCTCTCCGGCGACTACTCCTCCATCAAGATTCTCTACAACAAGTTCATCAACGCCACCAGCTACGAGCCCACCACCATTGAGGCATTTTCTGAGGAGGCCATTGCCGCGTCCCGTAAGCTTCTCCCGCGGAACATGAACGAGACTTATATTGCACCAGTGCATCTGACATTTGATAGCCAACTTCTCCGCCTTCGAGGTAGACGAGGAGCTCCTCCCTAACCTCCGCGAGTACGCGCTTGCCAACTCCATCTACTGGGCTCTGGCCGAGGGCCACGCCTGCGAGATCTCTGCCCGTAGAAACGCCATGGACGTATGTGATCCTCCTTCACGTCTGAGTTCCAATTACAGTCGAGCCCGTGCTGATTTGAGATTTATAGAATGCTTCCAAGAACGCCGGTGACATGATCAACAAGTACCAGATTCTCTTCAACCGCACCCGTCAAGCCGTCATTACTGGAGAGCTGGTTGAGATTATCACCGGTGCCACTGCCTCCGAGGACATGTAAAGCGGGTTTGGAAAAGCGCGCATCAGACAGAGATGATTACTACCTCTCTTCCCTTTGTATCAAGCTACCAAGGGCGGCTAGTTGCCCTCAGTGTACCACATCCTCCCGAATACATCCTGATCTAGAACACGGATAATTCTGTTTCACTTTTCACCGTCCCTCTCATGAACAGAAACCATTGCCAGTGCTGGCCCAAATTTATGCTATTACTATCATGTTCACCCTCTCGAGGATCGTATTATGTACAGGGCCCGTAACCGGGCGAAGGGAACAAGCAGCGTGAATAGCATATCAAGGCGAAAGAGGATGATTATAACATGTGGGTATGCAGTGCTCCCCTTAACGCCAATAAAACAAAACCATGGCCCCAGTGCATCCTGACGCCATACGCACCCGTTCGCATGAGAAGTCCGGTCACCCGACCGACCCATTAGTTGGGAACCATCTGCTAGACCAAGAAACCAAGAGCAAAATACCGAAAACCTATACTCTGAATAGCGCCTTCCAACCCCACAAACGCATCCCCGAAAACCATCATCAGAACTCAATGTCGCTGCCGTCACTTTCGGCGTAGCTGACTTGTTTCGTTCTGCGATGCTTCTGCGCGCTGCTCTCCCGTTGCGACCCGCTGCCCTCCCCGTTCAAGGGGTTGTACGGGTGCTCCCGTCGAAAAGCCGCCAGGATCTCGACATAATCCTTGTCCCACTGCGCCAGCTTCTCGTTGTACGCCGTGACGGCCTCGGCATAGGCGGCCTTTTGCTCGAGCGCCTGGTCCTCGAACGGCTTTCTCTCTTCGGGCGTGGTGGCCTTCCACATCTTGGACGTCATGACGCGCACCTCGTTCGGCGCTGGTTTCTTCCGCCCCGCGCGCTCATCCTCACACTTTTTACGGGCAATTTCGAAGAAGGCCCTGCTATAGAGGAGGTAGGCATTCACAACCAACTTGCCGGGCGGCGAGGGCCTCTCGCCAATCTTGGACTTGATGTGTTCCCAGGCGGCCAGATCATATGCCTCCAGAAGAGTCTGCTCCGGATCCTTGGGTCCTTCCATGTCCTTCCGTTTGTTTGAGACGCTTTCTTTGGGTAGAACTAAGGGGGTTGGGATATCTATCGGGCCGAGCATCGAATCGACAACCTCTGATGCTGCGCGAAGTCCCGATAAGTAAGCTCCGTGGACGGTGGCAGGATGAGTGCCGATTGTGTGTTCCCCAGCGAAGAAGAGATTGCCGATCGGGCGCGACATCGCATCGTAGTCGTCCGGTTGCATGTCTGGGCCAGCCGAAGAGTAGCTTCCTCTGGCGAACTTGTCCGAGGCCCAGCGAGTGACAACCGACTCAACAGGGTATGGCACTGCAGGTCCAAAGACGCTGCGCAACACTTCGGTCGCCTCGGCAATCAGGTTGTCGTTACTGTTATGCTCCGTATCAAAACCGGCATCACCTGCCATTAGCGCTACAAGACATGGTAAACCTGTTGTCTGGGTGACATTGAACCATTGAAAGAGGCGCCCTCTTGAGGATTTATAGTCGCTTTGGTTCAGACTATGTCGGTTAGGGGCATCTCGCAGAACACCAAAGATGTGCCTCTCCGTATCCCAGAAGGGGTGGTCGTAAACCAGAACTAGCTTGTTGAGCACGCCATAGCCTATCCGGGAGATTACGTCCGTCTTCCACTTAGGCAAAGGTGGGTCAAATTCGACGTTGCCCTGCTTCAACACACCAAGAGGTATTGTCGAAACGACGTAGTCAGCTTCGATTGCTGTTCCATCTTCGCAGTAAATAGAAGCTCGGCCATTTTCCTGCGTATCGTACTTGATCTTGTTAACGGCAGCCCTCGGCCTAACGTCGAGAGGCGTCGGGCAGTGCATAAGACCTCTGGGGACGCTTTGGTACCCGCCAACGATCATGGTGTGCTTGCCTTCCCACTCGTTACCAGCGTCAATATCCCAGCCACCTAAGCTGAGATTATGAAGATTCGTGGCATTGCTGTATTCCAGGTTTGCCACATGCCAGTTGATGAGGCGGTGGTCTTGGGCGGTCAAATCCACGATATTGCGATACTGAACGACGGCCTCGTCCATGACCGAACCAAGGGTCGCCGTTGGCAAGCCCGCAGCTTCGTTTAACTCGATATTAGCGTCGTTTGTCGCACCATTTTTCAATGTCCACCCCATCACCATAGCCTTTTCAGATGCTTTGAGGATACCTGGTGTGCCAGGTTGAGTGTGGACACGTCCGGTCAGCTTATCTGAGGAAACTGGCACCAAGTTGACTCGTTCAGGCACGTTTTGTTGAGAGACAGGCGGTGCGTGCGGCAGAGCGGCAGTCGCCTCTTCGGCCTGTCCGATCGTCCTGTGTCCGTCACTCACGGCATCTCGCGCTTCATTGATCAAGTCCCGGTTGCCCTCGATCAGCTTGGAGGGCTGTGACTTGAATTTGTATTCGCTGACTCGATCCAAGCAGTCGTTGTACAAATTCTCCACGAGCTGATCTCTCACATAGTCCACAGGCTTGCCGTTTGAATCGTAAATTGTCGTCTCTGACCGCAGGGCACGGTATGGGAGACACAGCTGTGCACGTACAAGGACGTTCATCGGGTTGCCGCGCTCGAATCCCGTAATAATCATTCCGCCCATTTCAGCGGTAAACCGTTCACCGTCAAAGTCCGGCAACGGTAGTGTCGGTTTTGATTTGAACTCTCTTGAGTAAACTCTTCCACCCACCCGACCGCGTCCCTCAAGGACGACAATTTCCGGTAGCGGCTTCCCAAGCGCACGATATCGGTCTGAATACTGCCGGAGTAACCCATCGAGGTGTCTCGCACAACCTAACCCGGACATACCAGCACCGATGATCACGATTCTTTTCCTCCCGGGCACATGATCTGTACCTGCGGCTTGTTCGGCCCGGTCGCTCGTCCCAGGGAATTCTACACAGCCAAAGTTGATGTAGCCACGCCGCGCAAGCCAGTCGTAACACACGCTTGCGACGTCAAACCAGCGGACATTGGCGCAGCCAACCGCCTCATTCCTTGTCACTGCAACGCGCGGGTTGTTGTACCAAAGTCGAAGGATACCGTTTCTGATGTTGAGATATGTGGTAACTTGAACATGGCTGATGTGATGTCGGAACATCTGGTATTCCTCTTGATGCAGTGCGTATGGGTTTAGCCTCGAGGACTCGGCAGCTTCTATGCATTGTCTTGCATATTCATAATTTGAGAGATTTGATGGGATTGATGACTTTGGCTTTACATCGAAGGATCGTCGCACTGCCTCGCGTACAAGTGGGGTCTCCGTCGATGGCATGGAGAAGTCCTTATGGCCTTCTAGGTCTACGGGCGTCGTTGCCTTACTAGAGAGCGATGAGGGTACCGAAGACAGCTCAGACTGCTCGTGGTCCGACAGATTAGTCAACGGTGATTCGAACGACTCGTGAGGGGTATCGTGTGACTGGATATGGAGAGTTTCTGATTCAGCCTCTCCTGCCATAGGTGAACTGCTGGGGTGTTAGCCAGAACATATAATCCGCTTTGCGTATATATACGAAGACAAAGCCATGGCATCACGATGGAGAAGAACGAGCAGCCACGTACTCAGGGTTGGACGCAGGGGCGGAGGAGGGCTCCGCCTCATCCTGGCTTGTGTCATCCAAGTCCATATCTTCCGTCCACACGACAATTTCCGGTGCGATTTCCGAGACTGCTTCTGATGAGATTCGACTTGGTGGGGATGCTGTCATCGATTCTGCAAAATTTGACGTCGATATCCGACGGAGCGTTGCACTAGCCCTTGAAGGCATGAAGTCTGATATGTGTGAGTTCCGGCCCGAGAAATTCATCAATGGACCCTTTCCGAATCCTGTGTCCTGCTTAACATGAGATCTTGGGCTGGATCTCATACTTCAGTCGTCGGCTCGGGTTGAATTCGAGGATGAGGTATGTCTATATGTTGATGGTCGGCGATGAAAGTTGCTCGGCCTGAGCCCCGTCTGGGGGTGTGATGCGGTGGGTCTAGTCCAAGGTTGACAACATGTTACGATAGCTTAGCTTAGGGGGACCCAAATAGCTTCGCTGTGTAAGGACCGTCAGCTGGTTTGGGTTCTCGGATTTGCAAGTACTGGGTATAAGAGGAGACAGATGTGAGGTGCCGACCTTTTGGCTGCGGAGACGCCACTGGCCCTGGCCGCAAAGCACTGTCCGTTCTCGGTTGTGAGCGGTCCCGATATCTTTCGAGTATCGATGGGAGAGCACCGAATCAGGTGCATGAAACCCGGCCTATTGTTCTAGATAATTTTGTTGAGGAGACAAAATCGTACGCATGAAGAGAGAAACCGTCAGATACATGACCCGATGAAATCGCTAGGTTCGGCACTCGACATGAGGAGCTCCAGCGTTCGAGACAAAAAAGGCGGGTCACGTGATGCCCCGGCAAGCTATCCCCATTACCTGGGGGAGACTCGTTGGACTGACTGCAGGCCCGAGCCACAGTCGGCAACATCTCTGACCGAAGCCACTGACTCGAGACACTGGCCGAGAATTGTAGAACCACGAAGAGTAATAATGGTGCTGCTAGTAGGTTCATAACGGTTCTCTTTTAGAGAGGTTTATTATCTAAATTTTCGTCGCTTCCTTCATCTTTGACCACATCGCTCTACTCCAATCCATTGCCCCTTGCATCGATAGTTGTCCCCGCTGCAAAGCCCCCGTGCATCTCACGGTGTGGGGCTGGGAGGTTTGACGTTGTCTCTAGCGAACGATTCCTTCTCGATGGCTGCATCCATCATCCGGTCCCCGTTTATGATCGATGTCGTACAGATGATAATGTTTCTTCGAGCTGCAGATGAAACGAATTAGTGCCGTGCTGCTTAGAAGAAGTCATCTGGAACCACTTACATTCTTCCTGCTTCGCGATGAACCGGAGAGCAGCAATCTCAGTGAATGTTATGCCTCCGACGAACACGACGAACACCGTTTGCTTTTCTGCTCCTCCCGACAATAGCGCCCGAGCTTTCACGGCTTTCTCCTCACCCTTCTGTAGTTCGTAAAATGTCTGCCCACGAACATGTTTGACAGCTTCGTCAAACCCATGCCATCCCTGCGCTGCGGACCCTCCGGGTGCACCGCTGACACCGTTCCCTCTCGTAACTTTCAGCAAGTATTGCTTCTGCAAAACGCACTGGACAAGCCGGACCGACAGCGGAGCGTATCCGCTGTACACGTACGCGACATCGTTGGGATCGTCTTCCTGGACCTCGTCAACGATGAGACGAAGAAGCTTACGAAGGTAAGTGTAGTTCGTCTTCGTTCCTGTGTTGTTACCGCCGGCGCCAGTCATGGGGATCATTTCCGCCAATGGGGAAGATCGCGACAAAAACAGCTGAAGCTTCTCAAGGTTGTTCAGAGTCAGAATGTGTTGGTAGCCATAGCCCTCCAGAATCAGCCGCCGGAACTGGTCAAATTCCTTTGGCTTGATGCCACCTGATATGCAAGAGTAGATGCAAAGCAGTCTTAGGACTTCCGGCAACGGGGTGTCGCGAGCAATCAGCTCCTCAATGGCATCGAATTGAGAGGATGGGTCCGCGCCAGCAGCTAGGTTTTGCTGCGCTTCCAAGAGGCCCTTGAACTGGTCCGTCCGCGTATACTTTATAATCTCCTCCGCCAAGCCTGTATGAATTCTCAGGCTCTGCTGTTCAGCCTGATATCCTGGTAGCTTGCTGACAAAGTCTTTAAGTTCGGCGATTGATTTGTGGCTGTTCCGGCCCTCGTAGTCCTTCTGCAGGTTCTGTAGGCGGCGAGCAACTTTGTTGAGCAAACTGCCCACGATGGCAAAGTTGGTATCCCGAAGTTGCTCATATAGCTTATCGGAGGAGTCCAACTGTATTTTTCTTTTCCTAGCCTGCGCACTGGTTGCCGAAGACTGAGACGGGGCACCAACCACAGTGGTATCAACTTCAGCTTGGTTGTTCTGAATACCAAACACCTCATCAATGAGTCCCTCGTATGTCAATTGAGTTAAAAGAGGAGTGACGAAATCCACTTCGCGATCGATTATTATAGCACTTTCGGTCAGTGTGCTTGGCGACAAGCTGCCTCGGGTCGTCTCAGCAGCGTCCTCGCCAGCAAGAATCTCTTGTCGCATTCGCGCCAGGAGCTCGGCGACTCGTTTCGCGTTATCACCTTTGCCGATAATCCGAGGAAATAAGCCATGATCCTGCTGGATTCCCATCAAAGCTTTGGCGAGTAGGAAGGATGGCGTAACGTCTTTGGAGAGATAGAGGTCGCGAAAAGATTCGTCTAGCTCGAGTGAAAGAACGTCTTTTTCTAGAGGAAAGAAGTATAGTGGCAGCTCAGAGATACTGACATCGCCCAAGACGCCAGCCTCCTCCAGCATTTTGTCAGAGACGAGGGTTCGCCGAGGCACCCAGAAGATGTGGAAGTCATGGCCAGTTTGGCTCTCGCGCTGTAAACGTCGAATCTGCTCTATGAAGCCGTTAGCGCTGGGCACTGAGCACAACTCGTCTCGTCTCACGATATATGGGCTATGATGAGGTATTAATCGAGAACACACATGAAACCATGCGGGGGGGTCTGAATCTCTCAGCTGCTATGGGAAAAGGCCTCGTGGATCTGCATGGTATGAAGCGCTGACCTGCTATCGTTTGTGCATGACGCGCGCACTCCCCGCGGGCTATGAATATGAGATTTCGCTGGCTGGTGTCGGCGTTCTTGTTCTCGAGGAAGAAAAACTTGTCCACGCCGTATTCCTGAAGGGTTGTGACCTTGACGATGGTTCCAATTGGGCCGGCCAAGCTGCGCTCAAGAATAAGATTTTTCTTTCCGCGAACCTGATGACGCCGATGGTTGGTTAGCTCCTGAGGACAGGCTGCCAGCTCGGAATGCCTTACTTACAGCCTCGAGCAGGTAAAGGAGATCCTTGCGTGCTTTGTCCTTTATCTGGTCCGTATTGAAGCCAGCTCGAGGAGCCATCTTCAGCTCTCCATGCGTTTGGAGGATGTTTCGTCGCCGTCGTCGTCGTCGTCGTATGGCGGCTTTAATTGACCGCTGCTCAATGAGTGAGGTGGAAGGCGAGCAAAGGTAAAGCTGAGGTTGGGTGTCGGGGGTAGAGATTAGATAGAGCACAGGACACCACACCACCTCATACTCGGAGCTGCGTCAGCGGGGCCTCGGCGGGTAAGACGTCACTTGGGACTCGGGTTTGCGTTGCGGCGAGGCGTGCACTGTCAGGCCCAACGAAGTTTTGTGTCTCGGGGCGGCCAGTTCACTGGGTATTTCCACACGGGATTAACGAGCCTAGCCACTGCGTATAGCCTGCTCTCTTGGCATTCAACAAAAGTCGGTCTTGACTACTTTTTTCTCTCGAAAGACTGGCGATTATTCATTTAAATTCAACGGAAACTGGACAAGACATCTTTCGCCAGGTGGATGGGGATATGTTGGACCACTGAATGTCATGATCTCTTGACATATCGCATGGTCTACCGGATGTAAAGATGCACGCTATGTGACGGGACAAAAGATCGCACAGCCTGACGAACTTTTGCCTTTCGTCCTGTTAGCCATCAATCAACATGGTGCTAAACATTGTCTGCGGGAACCCGATTCCGCTTGCAAAGCACTTTTTCCAGATATTCTTTCTGCAGTGCCGCTCCATAAATGCTGCAGAGGCACCATCATCGCCATGCTGCGGTCCTACTTCTCGCAAGAACAAACTCCATAGCCATCTGTCTGTCCTTAGTTTCCGATCAGTATGCCAAATTCAAATCCAACGCCAAATTCAATGCCGCCGTGCAAGATATCATCCTCTTGATCAGACGGTGTTATCGTGATAGTAGAAGTCGATATCTCTTGGCCGCAGTCTGTTGCTTCGAACGAACTCATCATCTCCCGCTGGTCGTTCGTTCTTCTCGTTGCCAGTCAACATGCTCTGTATGCTCATACACACGCTCTCGACGTTTTGCACTGGACTCCAGCCTTGACTGCCGAGCAAATCGAGACAAATGATGCCGTTCGAATAGATGTGGGGATGCATCGGAATCGGTCGCTCGGCCGTCTTAACGAATGTGACCTCGGGGGGCTCTATTAAGACCGGTCAGCTTGGGCAGCGACGATGAGCAATAGCAAGCGCAGAGAGCATACCTATAGGGTATTGTTGGGAGAACTTGAACTTGAGCCTGTAGACCTGATCCTTATACAGCGGGTTGTCGTCCAGAACCCTGATATCCATGAACCATTCTTCGAAACTATCAGCCGAAATGAGATCGATACCGGGGGGCAGACCGGTGTTCAGCTATATATGAAAAAGTCAGACGTTATTGCGACACAGCGAGCGCGCGCAACACAACGGTCGGCAAAAGCTGGCCACGAAGCAGCACAGTACATGCATGGGCTGGATGCGACAGACCTTTGAGAGCTCCTTGGCCAGCCGCTTGGAAGCGAAACTGGACGCCATTTTGAAGCGCGGGAAGATGCAGAACGATGCGGATCAAGCCACGAAGCAAACGACGAGAGAGGTGGAATAGAGCAGGGAGAGAGACACCACAGGAGGTGACCGTCGGCGGTTCGAAAAAAGCAAGGCAAGGCCAGTCGACGGAGGGAGGAGGGGCTTGTCGGTTGTTGGAGGGGCTGCTCAGAGACGGACCCCACGATTCGGTGGTTACTGCCGAGAACAGCACAATGGCGAAGGCGATGGATGAGAGGACGCGCGATTAAAAAAAAGTGAATGCTAAAACTGTGGAAGGAGAGCCCGATGTAAATTCTCGTCTTGTCTATCAGGAACGAGGCGAATATCCAGGATGCAGGAGAATTACAATGTGGAAAGATTGCGCCACCAAGGAAGATGCAAAGAGGAAGATGTGACGACGGTCTCTGTCGATTAACAAGCCCTGTTAGGTGGGGGTTGTGTAGAGATACAGTGACAGCAGGCGCCAAGGTCGGACGCAGCGAGCAGCTAGCTACATAGCACCTTAATATCGCCGCCCGCGGGCACACATTGACGGCTGCTTCTGATACCGGGTCTACCTAGATAAACTACCTAGTTAGGTAACTGTACATGGTGTTGGTGGGGGGACGTCCTTTTCTTTCAGTGATCCAGATGGTTCTTGGTGCACTGAAATAGTGTATCGTTTACTCCGGAAGTGGCGGCATACTTTTTAGATAATATAACCAAACACCCTTGCACTCTGGATTGCCGTCTTTGGGAGCCCCGTTTCCGGTGACCAATCCCTCTTTTCGGCAACGACTTGCAGGCTACGAAGAAGAACGTTTGGTCTTGAGAAAGGGATTGAAGCTGACGTGCCTACAAGCTTCATATCAAGCAGGGGACAATGCCCCTCCGTAAGTTATGTAGCCATATTCACCAATAGGTGGTTCTTCGGAGCATGCCCTGGTTGCATACGAGCCTTGTGAGAAGCCTAGCTTGCTGATGTGTAATTGCAAGTAGGTAGCCTGCGGGCTGTGGGTGTACCAACTTAGATTGCCCGTTTGCCAGGTGCTAGTCCCTTAGCCGGAAAATCCCTGGCCTCTACGTTACGTCACTGATCGAATCGCAACAACGAGAACAAGAAGGCTGGATAGGTAGGTAGCTTACCAAGACGAAAATGTCATTACTTAAGCTATCTACCCACCCTATCTACCTATCTACCTACCTAGGTAGGTTGAGATGACAGTTTCCCTATGAATTTGCGTGGAGAGAATCAACCTCGAGGCCCAAGGCACAACTGCTTTCTGGGCCTCACGATGTCATCGCCAGGAGACAGCGTTTGCCTGGACGGGCCTGGCCCGGGTCTCTAGCCTCGTAGCCCAGCGACCAGTGCTTGCGGCAGCTAGGTGCTGGGAGAGAATGTGTGAGAGGCGCCCTCCTCAGCCACGCTTTTCAAACATGCGTCCTCCAGTCGTTCTGATCGTATAGGATAAGGCGATCCACACCGAAGACCCTGCCGGCAATCTTTAGCTTCTCAAGTGCAGTGCTATCACGGCCATGTCCGTGCTTCCCTTCTCAGCCCCTCATCTGTCTGCGGCTGAGCATCCTGTTTAATTCCTAGGAGCCCACAAGGCTCACTTCGGCTGGCCCTGACCCCTGAAGGCGCTGTTCCTTGTGATGGTTGAATGGATGAGCTGCCTCTTTCGCTCGCTGCGTGCCCTACTGCCTAGAGGTTGCCTCTAATGCATCTGTTTCCTCTAGAGGGATACCTTTTGTGGTCTCGATTAATTAGCAGAAAAGCCACCCCTCATCCACCCACCCCAGAGTCTCTTCCTCGCCTGTGAAGCTCACCTCTTTTCTAGCCCCCACCCCCTTCCCATCGCACCCGTCATTTGTTACCCCACTTCACCCCTCAGCCCAAGCACCAGCACCAGCAGCTCCAGCACCCCGACCCGGTCCCCCTCTCGCCAGTCGACCTTGCAAGTCTCCATCAGCACCGCTGCTTTTCCTTCCAATCCAGGGTTCGAGCTTTCTCGGACTGCTTGAAATTTCCCTTCCCTACGCCAGCCTCGAGCATCTCTTCCTTATACACGCCCGTCTGCGCTTCTGCTTCTTACGCTCGACTGTCCCCGACTGCTCCATTGTCTCTACGCCTGTCGTGTCCGTAAAGCCATCCGACTACCTTTCAACTCGCTGCGACCGGTCACTATTCCCACAAAATGAGTTGTAAGTGCCACGGTCATAACGTTTGTTGGCTCTACGATGGCCTACAAACAACCAGCTTCGCTTTGTTCCGGTTGCTTCTATTCGCTTCGTGCCATGCCTATCCCAATCTCCCCGCGGCCCCGTTATAGTTGATGCTGACCACAAGTTCCTCAACAGTCTCCAACATGCTGAGTAGGCTTCAAGGCCAACCCGAGAGCTACGATAAGAAGTCCGAGCCTGCCCCCGATACCCCCCCCTCTGAAGATATTGCTTTAACACGTTCGTTACAGGGCCAAATACCGCTTTGGACGCACGCTTGGGGCTGGAACTTATGGTATCGTCCGTGAGGCTGACGGTCCGACCGGCAAGTGCGCCGTCAAGATTATCCTCAAAAAGAATGTGAAGGGCAATGAGAGGATGGTTTATGACGAGCTGGACATGCTCCAGCGCCTCAAGCACCCTCACATTGTCAAGTTCGTCGACTGGTTCGAGTCCCGTGTAAGTACCGCACCAATTAGAATCTTGACATAGCTTCTGACAACCGCCGTAAAGGACAAGTACTACATTGTTACTGAGTTAGCTACGGGCGGAGAGCTGTTCGATCGTATTTGCGAGCAGGGCAAGTTCACGGAAAAAGATGCTTCGCAAACCATCAAACAGGTCCTTGAGGCAGTCAACTACCTGCATCAAAACAACGTCGTCCACAGAGGTAGGCTCTTCCTGGCATCTGATGTTATTGACAGCTCTGCTAATCCTTGTCCCAGATCTGAAGCCTGAGAACCTTCTCTACCTGACCAGAGATGCCGAGTCCGACCTGGTCTTGGCCGACTTCGGCATCGCGAAGATGCTCGACCGGAAGGATGAGGTTCTCACAACAATGGCCGGCTCCTTTGGTTACGCAGCCCCCGAAGTTATGCTGAAGAAGGGCCACGGCAAGCCTGTGGACATGTGGTCCATGGGTGTCATTACATACACTCTTCTCTGTGGTTACTCTCCCTTCCGTTCGGAGAACCTCCAGGACCTCATCGATGAGTGCAGTAACGCCCAGGTCGTTTTCCATGAGCGTTACTGGAAGGATGTTAGTGACGATGCCAAGGATTTCATCCTGCATCTGCTGCAACCGGAGCCTGTGAAGCGCTGGTCGAGTGAGGTATGTGGCCCTGCAGGGGCGCTGTGAGGCAGCAACACTGACAAATTCACAGGAGGCTCTCCGTCACCCCTGGCTCAGCGGAGAGAACGCCACCGATCACAACTTGCTTCCCGAAATTAAGGCTTACATTGCCAAGGCTCGTCTTCGCCGCGGCATTGAGATGGTCAAGCTGGCCAACAGAATTGAGACGCTCAAGGCTCAGGAGGAGGACACGGAAGACTCGGATTTCCCGGCCGATGCTATCAGCGCAGCCGACCAATCCAAGCACGTCGGCGTACACGAAATCACCGTTGGCGAGAAGCGCAGTCTGTCAAAGACGATCAAGGGGGCCATCTTCCGGGAGGTTGTTCTTGCCAAAGTCCGCGAAATGAAGCAGCAGCAGGATACTCTGAAGGTGAAGGAGGAGGCGGAGAAGGAGCATAAGAGACGCAGCTTTCAGGGCTGAGGAGCGCCTGACGTCTTCGAGGGAACGTTGACGGGTCTATTGTGACCCCGGAAGATGATACCACACCGAGTTGGATGACGCAGCAGAGCTATGGTCACGACTCTGAAGCAGCCCTTGACGTTGTTAATATTTGCTTCCTCATCGCGCTGCCCATTTGCTGTGCGCCCATTTCGTTTTCGGCCCGCGGGGTATAGGCCTTGGTCACTGCTATTTGTTTATTGCTTAACCAGAGCGGATGAGAGGAAAAGAAAAGCGAGGAAGACCAGGTTTTGATACAGTCGTCGTCAGTCTCATACAGAATTGTGTTACGTCTTGATATTTCGCCCATGAATCGCGTGAGCCGTCTGAACAGTGACTATCCTTCGGATGGCGTTTTGACATGCCTGATCGCCCCCGCTTGGTATGTTGAGCCATCTTTCCGCCTTATTAGCCGACGTCTGTTCGGCCGCGCCCCCCATGCGTGCAGATCAGCGATTCATGTCCACTGACATTCTGAGCGGCCAGGGCATACGCGTGGTGACTCGTTTCGCGACATCTCAGTTGGTAAGGGGACAAAGTTTTCAAGATGAACTGTGCGAGCTGGCATTGCTACTACTTGAAGGCAGGAAAGGGGGGAACAGTACCTCCTGTGGGTAACAACCCCTCCTCGCCCTTCTCTTCGCTCCAAACTACTAATACTATGTTATGTTGTTTGTTCATTACGTACAGGTCGTCGAAATTGTTTATACAAGGTATATATATATAAAAAACAAGGCTTGGAAGGAGCCAAATAAACCGCTCCATTGTGCGCCATCTTGCTCTTACGATGCTGAACCGACCAAGAAGCAACAAGAGAAAAGTCTAGGATAAAAAATTGAACCATGAAAAGCAAATAGGAAAAGAACTCAAACCTCCACCTTCCGCTTTATTTTGCTTCATCCGCCCCGAATGCTGTACGCTTTTGGTTCGCCATAAATGGTAGGAGAAATGCCACCCTGAGGAAGGGCAGTACAGGCTCCAATTAAGAGAATATGTGCCTGTGGTATCATTGGAGAGAAGTTTGAAAGTAGAAAATGCAAAAGTTGAATGGGCGGGTCCATGTGATCGAGACTTGAGGCCCCGACCAGCATTATAATTCGGCAAGGACGCTCTCGCGGAGCGCCTCGTAGCGGCTGACATCGAAGCGGCGACGCTGCCAGTTGTTCTGGCGGAGACGCTCAATGCGAGCCTTGATATCGAGACTGCGTAGCTCATCACTGAGCTCCGGGGTTGCGGCTCTGGCGGGAAGCAAGCTGGTGTCGGTGGTATCTTGGGGAGGCGTAATAAGCCGCTCTTCGACGTCGGCGATGTGGACTCCGATCTGCGATCGGAGGCTAGAGAGCAGACCACAGTAACGGTGAACAGAGCGCTCCTGCAGGAAGTCAAAGGCGTCGCAGTCATCATTCAGAGGCTCGGGTGTTGGTGGCTTCATCATCTCCTCGGGCTCGTCAACAGGTTCTGGCTCCTCAGGGAGGACCGGGAGATAGCGTGGCTCGGGCTCTTGCGGGGAGCATAGGTAGTCTTCGAAGCCAAGAGTGGGGGAGTCAGGGCGGATGAATGGCTCCTGGGGGATGTCGCAAAAGGTGACGCGCTTCTTGTGGCTGCCGGATAGTTTGGTCACGGCATCCTCGACGGAGCAGATAGACGGTGTCGGCGACGAAAAAGCCGTCGAGTTCGTCCAGGTTCGGGACGAGGCGCGAGAGGAGGTGGAGCTTGAAGGAGAGTGCATGCTCGAGGTTGCTGCTGAGGATGGCCGTGAAGAGCGAGCCATATTCTCGTCCGCTGTCTTGCTTAGATCTGAAGCCTGCAAGTAGTGATTTCGTGCCTGCTGAAGCAGCATTGTTCGATACGGAGAATTGCCCTTCAAAGGTCGTGAAAGCATGTCAAAAGAGCTGGCAGCGTAGAAATGCAGGTATATCAGGTACGCCGGCTCAATGTTCGCCTAATGATCTTTGATTAGCATGGTCTCGAACCGCTTCTTTCGATCTTCAGACAACCATAACTTACATCTTCTTTTATGTTGTCCAAGATTTCACAACACCTCAGAGAGCATGGCCGGTACTTGCGGTTTAGGTATTGACGCTTAACTTCAGAGACAGCCTTGATCCATTCTGCGGAGGTGTAAGGCAGGACTGGCAGAGAGGCCGGCGTCTGCATTGACGACCGCCTAGACGTACGCGCTCTGGGGGATGGCAGATTCGTCGTCGTTGTCGTCGTCGCTACTGATGACTGCGGCGTAGGAGCATTTGATGGCGCGGTAGGAAAGACGATGCTGCCGCGGGAACCGGCGGCAACGGGGTGAAGAAGCAGAGGTATTAAGCCACCCATCGTGAAGGATTTATTAGGAGGCGTGCTTGCTGAAAGAAGGTTTCGGGCACCGAGTTGGCTGAGTGATGAAGAGGGAAAGATAACTCGGCTCGCAACTTCTTCGTCTGATGTAGGACCAATCGTTGTGCGGAATCCAATCTGGACAGTCGCAGTCGTCAATTAGAGGGCGTTGCCTCACGTTCAAATGCCAATGACTAACGACCGCGTTGTTGAGCCAAGTAGTGATGTGGAGAGGAACCAAACTATTCAGGCGGCCGGATAGAGGATTTAATCCGAAAAAGCTAAGGGCGCGTAACGACTGGGAATGCCAGACGAGTCAACGGGGCAGGAAGACTCGGCAATAGGCGCAAGCGGGTAATTCCCCAAATGCGTAACGGGCGATGGCACCGGGATTCGGGACAGTCTCAAGTCGTCTGAACACTAGCTTGTTGGCATTAACACCAGTGATCTCCAGCAAGGGTATGTGTCAGAGGAGACTTCAAGCTGATGTTGAGTCTATCGACGTCCGAAGTCTTGAGGTTTGTGGTGTCAAGATTATTAAACGAACTAGAAGATGTGAGGCATATGGGCCCAGGACGCCAATGTCGAGTTGAGTATATTAGGGTCGATGATTCGGATATCCTTGCTCGTCAAGAAAGCGGAGAGACAGGCTGCGTCAAGTCGAACGAGGCTGGCTGAACGTCAAGGAAGCAGAAAACAGGGAAACACCAATTAGTGAGAGTGCCAAATGCAGGGACTGCGTATGGTTGCGAGGTGGTGAAAGTGGCGGCCAAAAACCAAGACACGACGTCGGATGTGAGACCAGCGATGGGAGGGGGTGAGAGGTCTTGGTCGATGACGAATAAGTCCGCCGCAAGATAGCCAGAATAGCCGAATGGCACAAGGAAAGGAAGTGACCGATAGTGTTTTCTGTGTAGACTGATTTTAACTCGAAAGGTTGGGCGATATTATGGTACCGGGTGGGGCAGCCGAGACGATGCGCGGAAAAGGACAAGGAGAAACGAGGGGAGAGGTTGGGGAATCACGAAAGGTATCTCGAAATCGCAGTCTGGATGCCCTCCGGGCATTTTGGGGGGGACGGGTTGTGTTCAAGTACCTCGCGGGATGCATCCAGGGGCAGATGTGCTTTCGCGGGTCCCCCAGGCCCTTGATATGGATATCGGTCGAATGAGGCTCGAATTGAGGTTACCTTGGGTCGGATATTTGCGCATCGACGTTGGACTAGGGAGAAAAGGGGAACAAGCTTCAGGCGTGGGCTGCGCAACGAGATTTTCTCGTCCCTTCCGAGGACCTGCATATCGTGCTCCATCTCGACGAGGCGTCTTCCCCTGGCACCGGCGCGCCTTATCCTGCTGACCCTTGCTGCTAGCCCTGCTCATCGTTGCGGCCACCATGGAGTCAAACCCACACCCAATGCGCACCTCTTGCGCGCAAACGTACTATACTATGTAACTCTAGCGACGGTAGGTCTACCTAGGTAGGTAGTGTGCTTCGTACCTGACTACGACCACATAGTACGCGTCGTGATACATACACTACTGCCACGCTGCATACCTACCCGTCTGTCTGCACAGCAGCTCGACGAAAATTCGGGTGCACGGGGTACACGCTATGAGCACCGAGGCGCTGCTTCGTGTATGACTATGGGGATGGCTTGAGGTGGCTTGGGATGGCTTGGGTTGCTCGGGTAGGGAAGTGAGCAGTCGCCTTTTGTAATCTGCAAGGTGCGAATAGTCTCCACCTCACGGCCGCGCCCTAGTCCATTAGGTGGATACGCTATGAGCAGTACGTACTCAGGAACGAGGCGCGGAGAGGATCCCGGCCCTTCTTCGATGGCGTATGTGTGCGCCAGACCCTCACCTGGTGTCATTCTTTGCAGCCCTCCCAGGACGTCGTGACTATCTTCCCTCCATAGTGTTGATCAAGACAGCGTACCGGGGAGAGACGGGAGACGGGATGGGGAGACGGACGGGACGGATTTGCTTGTGGGCTTGCCTGGCGCTATTTCGCAAGAGGGATGATGCCGATGAGGAAGAGTTCAAGCCTTGGAGTCACGATACACGCCAGAAACGCCGTGTGTGTCTTGTCAGCAGGGAACCGTGTCTCTGTCTCTGGGTGGCCAACGAACCGGAAGGAGAGAGTCTTGCATGCCCTGCGTCAAAAGAAAGAGAAGAAGAAGAAGAAGAAGAAGAGGAGGAGGAAAAAGAAAGGTGAAAGAGGGTAATGGATCTTTTCCAACGGTGAAGCAAGCCGGTGGCAGAGGAAACCCAACGGCCAAGCAGCCTGAATAATCCTACCGAGGGTCTGGAGGGGGCTTGCATACGACTCTCGTTCTAGTACTACGCAGCACGTCCCAAGAGGTACTCGCGTCCGATGACTGGGCGACGCTCACCTGCCTAGGACGTGCAGGCACCGTACCTAGGTAGGTAGGTAGGCACTCAGAACCGCTGACACCTGCTTGTGCCGCTTACTACATAGTCCTGCGCCGGAAGTCAGGAACCAACAACCGAGCAAGGGGACCCGTCCTGCCCCTACGAGCACATCGGATCTCCATTGACGTTCCCTTCCTCGGACTACCGTCGCTTTCCACGCAGCTTCCGCCCCTTCTTTCTACCTAGGGCGCCCCATGCGCGCCCCTCCCTCCCCTGCCATAATCCTCGCAACCTCCGCCGTCTCTCTCATTGCGCCCTCATTCCCACTGCTACACATACACATTGAGCGACTTTGATTGCATGAACATGCATTTCTTCCAGGTTCATGACAAGTGACAACATCCCACCCACGCCAAAATCCCGAATGTTCGTACTGACCCTGTCATCCTGTCGTCCTGCTGCTGGAATCTACCCAGACACAAATTGGACCAAGAACTTGGCTAGCCTGCGATCTCCATCTTCCCCTCGAGCCCTTAGGTCCTAGTTCAGCCATTTGGCTCCCGGCACTCGTGAGTCCCTCCTGCCTGTGCAACGAATCCCACACCACCGCTCGCCACCAACAGCACCACTCGGCGGTCCCAATAACGTGGTACGGTAGCATCATTATGTGGCTCCGGTTATCCACGCCTCGGCATTATGTGCCATGGCCGCCATCAGGACAACGAGCACGCTTGAGCGTCTTTCCCACCGTCCACGGGCGAATGTTCGATGGGAAGGAGTGTCAAACGAAATTGGACTGCGCAACGGCACCGGTCGGCCTGTCAAAACAAACAAGCAAGCAAACAAAAATGAAACATAACAGAAATGACAGGATAAAAATAAATAAAAATAAATAAAAAAAAGTATGCAGCAAAACACTCCCTTGACTCGTACAGAGAAGCAAACAAACATGACCGGCACCAACGCAAAATTTGTAGGTACCGCGACCCCGGGTATGGGATTAGCTGGCAATTTTGTCGGGGCGGGGGGGCTCCATCAACTGCGTATCCTCGCCATGTTCTTAGTCATACGTCCAGCACGTTCCGGACGATCCGATGGCTCGTTCTCGTAGCCTCCAACTTTGGAAGAAAGAGAAAGCAAAAGGAAGCAGGAAACCAAGCGTATGCCGAGAACAAACACAAACTCGTCCGAAGGCGAAGAAGCTGGATCAAAAAGAGGTCTCAGCGCAGTCTCACACACTTTCAGCCATTGAGAAGGAAAGAAACAAGTGGACCTGAAACGAAACATTTCCCTCGTGCAACTCTGTGCATCCGCACAGATCTCTCCAGAGGGAGGAGCAAAGGACGACGTGGTATGCACCGCGAATCCCAAATCCCTCACCCCTCACCGTAAGATCAACAATCATCATACTGATTCGCCGAACCAATGTTGATATGCTTCCGAAGTTTGGTTCTGTGTCGGTAGTATCTGTTTGAGGAAGATGCGCTGCGACGAGCAGCGCGCATATGAGACAATCATGCATGTTATGGGGGAAAACGAGCCTCACCGCTTGCGTCGAGTCCGACCTAGTGCCTAATGATGCAGACGAGAGCTGGTTGGGAGGTTGGAAGATGGCCTCAACCAACCAGAGGTGACTAACTAATGGAGAGATCTTGTCTGTACCTGTACAAGCTGAAATCCCTCGAGTTCAGATGAACGTTTGCTGCCCCTGGGTTCGATTCGTCGTGCAGTAGCGGACGGCCACCGTCACACAGCAACCCAGTTCGCAGTAAGTTGGCAGCCAGCCGATTCATTCGTGCAGCCTTCGATCCAGATAGACTACAGAGCGACGCTCAACTGAGGTCTTTTTCCGTAAAAAGGAGTCCACTTCCCCTCCTACTCCTCCTCCTCCTTCCTTCCCGTCCCGTCACATCAGGGGCGGGGAGACCTCGAATAGCCCCGCTTACCTGCGTGTTATCGTCAATGGTCCGGTCGGGACCAGGGTTTCTTCGTGAGGGGTAAGCAGAGCAGCACCGAGCACTTCCGCCATCGGGCGCACACCTGAATTAGGAGCACACACGTTGGGCGCGTTGGCGAGCCCACGGCCGGTCAATTCGGTTTACTTGGCGACGGTCTCCCACCCGGTCCTGCGAATCTCTCACCTCGAACACTGTGCGGCTGGAAACGCGAAGTTTGTTGATGGACCAAAAAAAAGGAAACGAGGTGGTCTCCCACCGTCATGCCGTTCATCTCAAGACTGTGCGTCCAGCGATCACTGGCCTGGCAATAGCTTGCGGGCTAAAAAGCTCGTGAACCCGTCCCAGCGCGCGAACGGCTTCACCACTAGAGAGCCATGGTGCGACGGAACGGCACCCTATTCTCTCGTGCTTGCCAATCCGGCGCGCTGCTGCCCTGCTCGAGCCACGCTAGCTGGAGATGCAGAGCCCCTCCATCTGTCTGAAGTCCTCGAGAGGATACCGTCGCAGTTTACGGATACTGCGTATGCTTCTCTCCCTGCCCACACGTGGTGGACAAAGGAGCATCGAACGCCGCGTCCGACGTTCCTCGACTAGAGTTCTAGTATAACAAGCCTGGCCGAGTGGACGCGAGTGCCCGATAGAGACGCCACCAAGCCAAAATTCATATCCACCGCTAAAAACAGGTTGACTTTGCAAGATGAAACGCTCGTGATTAGGAGCGAATCGAGCATCACCGTCTGGGTTGGGGTAGCAGGTGTGCTTCCTAGCTCGTCTATTGCGTTATTCTTGTTCTTGTTCTTTTTTTTTTTTTTTTTTTTTTTTTTTTTTTTCTTTTTTCTAGTGATTTATCCACCGCCCGCCTATGTGCTCGGCGCGGGGTTGCTCTCCTCCGTCGTCTCCGAGGGCTTCTCTCCCTCCAGCACGGCGGCAGCTGGTTCCTCCGTGGCTACCTTGTCCGATGCAGACGCCGGCTTGATGTCCTCGCCCCGCATGCCTCCTACGACCCTTAGGCCCTCGGCCTGCCTGGCGAGGCCGTCGAGCTCGCGCTTCCGTGACAGGCGCTTCTGCACTTCGGGAACGAGCGACGCCACGTCGACGAGCTCACCGTCCTTCTGAGGGTGGCCCTCGGGAAGACCCAACTCCTTGATTCTAACGACGCCCTTCTGTACCTCATCGTCGCCGAGAATGATGGCGAACGGCGTCGCGTTGGACTCCGCCGCCTTGAACTGCGGTGGCAGCTTGGGCTTGACTTTGTACAGGAACTCGGCCTAGATATTCCGACACCACGTCAGCGTTGGGTTCTCTGCCTGACCCAAATCAGGTCTGTGCATAGCTGTTCTTCTCACCTTGATGCCTGCATTCCATAGCTTCGAGCAGACCTCGAGTCTCTCCTTGATCAGGCCGGCCTTGGATCCCAAGGACATGACAAAGACATCAACCGTGCTTTGAGGAGCTTCACTTTCGGCCTGCATCCTCGCCTTGGTGATGCTGAAGATTCTTTCGATGCCAAAAGAAACCTATTTTGTTGTTAGCGTCTCGCCTGTCTTTGCTTGTCGGTGACGACTACTTACGCCAACGCACGGAATTTGGGTCTTGCCGGAGAACATGCCGACAAGGTTGTCATAGCTGTCGTCGGGTTAGCGAACGGATAACATGTCAAGTGGGAGGGAATCTCGATATATCCTTACCGTCCACCAGCAGCGACACTGCCAACGCCAACGCTGGGATCGTCGGAGCGGTCCTCGTCATCCTTGTCCTTGCTCTTGCTCTTCTTCTTAGACTTGACTGTCTTGTCATCTGCGTTAGGGGTAGTAGCAGGTGCTGATCCTTCCGTAACGACCTCGTAGATGACACCAGTGTAGTAGTCCAAACCGCGGGCCAGGGAGAGATCAAACGACACTCTGTCGAGGGCGCCAAAGGCCTCAAGGTAGTTGAACAGAAGCTCGAGATCGGCCATGCCGGCCTTCATTGAGGCGTTGGCCGAGAGTTTGTCGTCCCGCTGCAGCTTCCGGAGCAGATCCTGCTTGCCCTTCTGGACAACCCACTCGCCGATCTTGTCGGCAACCTCCCCGTCCAGACCCTTCTCCTCCGTCATCTCCTTGCGCACGTCAACCCAAGGGAGCTTGTCGAGCTTGTCCACGGCGGAAGATATCGTCCGGATCTTGTCTTCGGGCACACCACAGACCTCAAAGATACCGTCGAGAATCTTGCGGTGGTTGAGCTTGATGGTATAGTTTCCGTTCCAGCCAAGGCCCTCGAAAACCTCAACAATAATTCGGATGATTTCGGCGTCGGGGAGCATGGAGTCGTAGGTGCCAGCAATGTCAAAATCGCACTGGTAGAACTCGCGCATGCGGCCCTTGTTCATGGCAGGCTGGTCGCTACGGTATTTATGTCAGCTAGCCGCTCAAGCGTCTTGGGAAGGCTGGTGTATAACATACCGGCGGTAGACCTTTGAGATGTGGTAACGCTTGACACTCTGGATATCCTTGTTCATAGCGAGCCATCTTGCGAAAGGGACGGTCAAGTCGTATCTCAGGGAGGTGAGCTCACCACCTTGGTCGGCAAGGTCGTAGATGAGCTTGGAGTCTTCACCATACTATCACAGGAGTGTTGATCAGTGTGCTGTGCTGGCTCAAGGTTCGAAGTGGATCGCGGGGTTCGCGCGCATCGCCTGTAGGTGGGGGGAGGGGCAAAGCCGGAAAGTCGTACCTTGCCAGAGAGAATCTCCTTCAGCTCGAAAACGGGGGTGTCGAGTTCCATACCGCCGTGTTTCTGGAAGACACCCTTCAGTTGCGAGAAGATCTTCTCGCGGATGAGCATGTCCTTGCCGAACCCTTGAGCAAAACATTGTATTAGTTGCGGCGCATGGTTCATCTATCGGCGCAAATGGCGATGCGGTAGTGACTAACAATCCTTAGTGCCCTTGGGGGTCTTCAGCTCGAACTTAGATTTGGGGGCCATGGCAGGCAACTGTTCGGTATCGATCTGGTAACGAGGGGTGGACGAAGAGAAAGCGCGACGACAGGGTCTGCTTCGGGTGACGATGCTGATTCTAGGCAAAAGAGGGGGTGGAATTGGGCTTTGAGAAAGAAGAGTCAGTCGGTAGGCCGGTCGGGCGGACCTCGAGAAAATCTTCACCTGGATCTGCATTCACCTGGCTTCCAAGTGCGCGGAGGGGAAACCGATTTCAAGGTAAAAAAAGCGGCCCTCGGGGAATCTTTGCGGATGACTCAATCGCAAACTTGAGGGGCCCGACTGACTGACGACTGTTTTTTGGAGGAGGGGAATTTTATGAGGTCAAAAAAACTGCTGCAAGGCTGCGACTGGACGGGGATGCGCCTGCATATCCGCGCCCAATGATGTTGCCGGGCCGAAGATGACAGATCCCTGCTCTTCTGACAAGTCTTTGGTAGAAGGTGTCGGTCGACTGGAGCAACACCTGTTGTAACCACCACGTGTCGGGTCAGAGCATTCTGAAATTTAACAAGTTTACTGGAAGCTGTCTCCACGGCGTATGGCATATCTTTAAAACCCAGTTGATCACGATCATTGATTCTCTATTTATTTATTTATTTTGCCGTTTCACTTTCGGGGCCCTCAAGAAAGCACATCGTGGTGGGAACGTCACAATACAAGAATGAACAAGCGGTCTTGAAGTTCTCGACCATAGATCAATGGACCGATGGTGACGATGGAGAGATCTTGCATTTTTTTCAAATGACCAGTGCTCTCTCATCAGTCCAGGTAGCTTGCACGGTATTCAGGACCGACTTCGGGTCCGTTTGGTCCCCCATAACATTCGCGATTACCGACTGGGGGTCATGCCTGAAGCCCGGCCCCAAGGCGTCGGGCCAGACAAAGTGGGTGGGGGTCGGGAAACGGCGTGTGTACAATAGGTACCTAGGTAACTAGCTGCCCACCTAGGTAGGGAGGTACCAAGGCTTTGCTGAGGTGCTCATAGCACAGGTTCTTCGCTTTTTTCCTTTCTTTATCTCCTCATTTCGAAATCTCTTGAACACCAAGATGCTTAGGAGATAAAATCTGGGAAAGCAGAGCAAGAATCAAGACAATAACTATCGACTGTCCCACCTGCCCGTCGTCTGTCTACAGATGTATTTAACGAGGTTGTCAGCACAGCCTGACGAAACCAGACAAAACTCACTGTCATTTGTCAAAGCATCCATTGACGGTAACAGCAGCGAATTCTTGGCGACGCCCGTGTCGGAAACGAACGAGTATCTGTCTACCTAGCAGGCTTTTCCTCAGGCTGACCAGAGACCTCAAGAAATGTGCCACGTGTATGGATAACGTCACTTTATCACCTGTAACTAACTGAGTCGTGATAGGAGAAAGAGAGGAGGCACAGAAGGAGAGAAGCAGCATGGTGGAATCTAGATCACGTTTGCAAGTCCACCAGCTCATGGCTGGCGCACGGCCCGTAGATTGGATTTACGACGCCAACATGATGATCTTACTCAGCGAACTACGCCCGCTAGAAACCCCTTCGAGACATTTCGGCTAACCGCTCTGGGCCGTTTACGAAATGAACACTGGTTGGCTGGCTGCATCGCCAAGTGCTATGCGATGCCGTCCGAGTTTCGTCCAGACAATGGCGTCTGCGTTTGCCCCACCATTTCCGTAAGCGGGGCAATTATCCATCCGAAGTGGTGGGCCCAACTGACTTCCCGTCCGTTGAACCTGGGCTCCCCCAGCCAACACCTCTCCTAAACTAGACTGGCTGCCTTCTCTGGGGACTGGCTATTACCTAGGTAGCTGCGCAGGTAGAGTACGTTGCTGCACGGCTCGTAAAAATCTAAATTCGGCGTTATATACGAATATACGCAGGATCAAGAACCTAGGTAGGTAGGTAGGTAGGTAGGTAGGTAGGTAGGTAGGAACGCAAATGTAGCAATCCACTTCAATCATACGGTTGGCGCTTGGCTGCCTCGCAGACTCTCACTCTCGTCGTCACCATATATTTTGTAATATTGCTCACTTGTATAAACACGGCTTGGAGCCATCCTCATTTCTTGTTCTTTTGCCCTTCTCTCTGACAAACCAAAGAAGACAAACGTCTACGGTCTTATTCGTTCATTACTTCCTTTACCCATTCCACTAGCTACACTTTTTTTTAATAAAAAAAACGTTGTCCAAGTATCGCTCTCCTACAGCATTACCCGAGGACCATGGTTCATTGAGATCCATCCTTCCGCCCCGAATCGGAATGACCCCTGTTAATACGGAGACAGCCTCATCGGATGGCGTGTCACCAGTGACCGCCGGCATCGTCGACGAAAAGAATGGCGCGACACAATCGACGGCTGGAATCAACGAGGAGTCCACTCCGAAAGCCAACACCAGACCTGAACGACAACCCAATGTGAAGGACTACCTCCGCGTCTTCACATATGCTACGAAATGGGACATATTTGCATACTTTGCGGCCGGTCTCGCCTCAATCGCTGCTGGCACCACCTTGCCGTTGATGAACAGTGAGGAACGACATGCTATTCGTAGTGCTTTGTGTTTCTGACTTGTATATGTAGTTGTTTTTGGTCAGCTTGTGGACCAGGTTAACGGATTCGGTACTGAAAACGGTTCAACGTCGGCAGATGATTTCAGGAAGGTTGCAGACCGACAAGCACTCTACCTATTCGCACTATTCATAGCCCGCTTCGCTCTCAACTACGTCAACAAATTCGGCTTCCGAATGATCGGGATTCGCCTTTCCTCCGCAATCCGCCTGCACTACCTCCAACGCCTTTTTGGTCAGACCATCCATGTTCTTGATTCGATGCCGGCCGGCGCCGCGGCCGGCACCATCACCTCGACCGCAAACACTCTCCAGATTGGCATTTCCGAAAAACTTGGCGTCTTCCTCGAGTTCAATGGCACTATCTGGACCGCCATTATAGTGGCATTTATTTATAGTTGGTCTTTGACTCTCGTTACAGCATCAGTTATTCTCTTCATCCTCCTGGTCTTGGCCGTGCTGCTCCCTTTCATCATCAAAGGCCACACTGAGATGACTAAGGCGGAAGGCAAGGCCTCTGCTGTGGCCAGTGAAGCTTTTTCAAGCATTCGAATAATTGCTGCCTGTGGCGCCGAAGACCGAATCGCTGCTCGGTACGCTCGCTGGGTTGAGGTTGCCCGCCAGAAGGGCCAGTTCACAGCGCCCTTGATAGCTCTTCAATTCGGCCTTGTCGTAAGTCTGGTCTCCTAGCTAATTATGGCTCGATCTAATCATCAGTAGTTCTTTGGGCTCTTCGGTACTTTTGGTTTGGCGTTTTGGTACGGCACGCACTCTTGGGTGGATGGACGCATCGGTGGTGTCGGAGAAGTCATCATGTGTGTATGGATTCCCACCTGGTTGAACTACCCCCTAATCTTGCAACAGTGTCCTCATGTCCGTTATGCTTGTCGTCATGTCTCTTGAACGCATCAGTACACCCCTTCTTGCTATAAGCAAGGCGATGGTAGCAGCATGCGAGTTCTTCACTGTCATCGACGCTCCCCATCCGAAGACGGGCGATTTGAAAGACCCTCAGGTTTCTGCCAACCAGAACCTCGAATTCAAAGGCGTAACCTTTGCGTACCCCGGACGACCGCACGTCAAGGTGCTAGATGATCTTCATCTAACTATCGAGGCTGGCAAAGTCACGGCCATCGTTGGGCCATCAGGCTCTGGCAAGAGTACCATTGTGGGTTTGATTGAGCAGTGGTACACCCTACAAGACCAGTACGTCATCGCCAAGACAGTGGAAAAGGACAAGACGAAGGAAGCCCACAAGAAGAGTAAGAAGGGCAAGGAAGACTCGGATGACGATGAAATAATCGCGCCTGAGGAAACTGGCCTAGCTGTCGAGCTCAGAGGCTCTGTCACTACATGTGGTCATTCCCTTGACGACATCGACTTGAAGTGGTGGCGATCTCAAATTGGCTTGGTTCAGCAGGAGCCTTTCTTGTTTAACAATACCATCTTCAAGAACGTCGCTTATGGTCTTATTGGCTCGCAATGGGAGAATGAGTCCGAGGAGAAGAAAAGAGAACTCGTCAAGGAAGCCTGTCAGGAGTCATTTGCAGAAGAATTCATTGACCGCCTGCCGGATGTAAGTTCCCCTCCCCCGCTCCATCCCTCGAGCCGACAGAGACTGACCTGTATCAATAGGGATACGACACTAGAGTTGGTGACAGCGGTGCAAAGTTATCCGGAGGTCAGCGCCAGCGTATTGCTATTGCTCGAAGCATAGTACGGAAGCCAAAAATTGTCATCTTAGACGAGGCCACCAGCGCCATCGACGTACGAGGCGAGAGAATCGTGCAAGCTGCTCTCGACAAAGTCTCCAAGAACCGAACAACAATCACTATTGCTCACCGTTTATCCACAATCAAAAAGGCCGACCGAATTGTTGTCCTAAAGAAGGGAAAGGTGGTCGAGCAGGGCACTCACGAAGGCCTTCTGGAAAACCACGAGGGTGTCTACTATGGATTAGTCCATGCTCAGCAGCTTTCGCTCGGCGAAGACGTGGATGACAGCGACGAAGAAAACAAGGAAGAGGAATTGGGTGCAGTTCTTAACCGAGAGAAGAGCGCCGCCAAGTCCGAAGTTGGTAGCACTCGTCAAAAGGCCGAGGTGAGGAACCGCAGCCTGTTCCGGAGTTTTGGACGACTACTCTACGAGCAGCGGCATCGCTGGATTCTGTGCCTTTCAACAGTGGTGTTCGCAGCTTGCTGCGCGGCCGGTACCCCTTTGCAAGCTTGGTTATTCGCCAAGGTCATTGTGGTATTCAACCCGGGAAACACCCCAGACAAGATTCGCAGTGACAGCAACTTTTGGTCTGCCATCTGGGCGGCCCTGGCCGCTGGTGTCGGTATCTCGTACTTCCTCATGGGATTGGCGGCGACGTATCTGGCACATTTTATCTGCGCGACCTACAGGCAACAGTACTTTGACGCCATTCTCTTCCAGAAAACCGCATTTTTTGATGAGGAAGAAAACGCCCAGGGCAGCCTGACCGCTAGGGTGGCCGGTGATCCCAAACAGTTAGAAGAGCTCCTCGGCCTGAACATGGCCATGGTCTTCACAGCCATCTTTACTATCATTGGTGCAATTTCCATTGCCTTTGCATTTGGGTGGAAGCTGGCCTTGGTTGCTCTTTGCGTCACGATGCCTATTGGAATTGTCTCTGGTTATTTCCGTTTCAAGTATGAGATTCAGTTCGAGAAGATGAACGCAGCGGTTTTCGCCGAAAGCTCCAAGTTCGCCGCAGAATCCATCGGAGCATTCCGAACCGTCTCAGCACTGACCTTGGAGGACAAGACATGCGCGCGGTACAATGAGCTGCTCAAGGACCACGTCACACATGCTTTCAAGAAAGCCAAGTGGACCAGTCTGGTCTTTGGATTCTCGGACTCGGTTTCCATGGCCTGCCAGGCTCTCATTTTCTGGTACGGTAGTCGGCTTCTGATATCTGGCGAATACAGCCCCCAGGCCTTCTTTGTCTGCTTCATGGCCGTAATCCAGGGTGCTGAGGCTGCAGGTCAGAGTCTTAGTTTCGGACCCAATGCGGCCCAGGTCACAGCAGCCTCGAATCGGATTATCAATATGCGGGAATCTAGAAACCGGGACCTCCTACCGCTCGTGGACCCCATTCCGGACACCGAGGGTGGTGTTCAGATAGAGTTCCGCGACGTCCATTTCCGATACCCGACTCGTGATGTCTCTGTTTTCAAGGGGCTCAACCTGACGATCGAAAAGGGCCAGTTCGCTGCCCTCGTTGGAGCATCCGGCTGCGGCAAAACGAGCATCATTTCTCTCATGGAGCGTTTCTATGATGCGCAAAAGGGCGCCATTCTCTGCAACGGCAAGAACATCAGCGACGTCAACATCTACGAGTACCGGAAGCAGCTGTCGTTAGTATCCCAGGAGCCTACCTTGTTCCAAGGCACAGTCAGGGACAACATCCTCCTCGGAGTAGATAAAAATAGCGTGACCGATGAGCAGCTGCACCGGGTATGTCGAGACGCTTCTATTCACGACTTCGTCGTCTCGCTTCCAGAGGGGTATAACACCGACATTGGCAGCAGAGGCGTCTCTCTATCCGGTGGCCAGAAGCAGCGTGTGGCAATTGCGCGCGCGCTCATCAGAGACCCACGTATACTTCTGCTTGACGAGGCCACAAGCTCCCTTGACTCGGAGTCCGAGAAGCTGGTTCAGGCCGCCTTTGAGAGAGCGGGAAAGGGCCGCACTATGCTGGTTGTTGCGCACCGTCTCGCAACGGTGCAGAACGCAGACATCATCTTCGTCCTGGGAGAGGGCAAGCTGCTGGAGAAGGGCAACCACGCTGAGTTGCTGAAGAAGAAGGGAGTATATTGGCACATGGTAAGTCTATCAATCAAACGTTTGATCCGAGGCATGCTACTGACCGTTTTCTTGCAGTGTCACAGCCAGGCACTCGACAGATGAACGATACCTCTGATGCCACAGGCTAGCTACAACCTCTGCCGCTATTGCGTCGACTACAACTATTCGGCCTCATATATTTGAGCTGATGGATGGATGATACGATAAGGGATAAGTAAAAATGAGCCCATCAATATGGGATTTGAAATCTCGTGCCATTGATGGAGTTTCCACGGCTGGTTATGCGGCCTCAAGGACTCACAAAGCCGCAAAGAAACTCAACTCCTCTAAGTATATTTATCTGCATTCCCCACTCTCGAGTCATCCCCCACAGGTCCGGTCTTACAGTTGATGCTGTTGCGGTTGCCACGACGGAATGACCAGGACTCCAATGGAGGTTTCTGTTTACCCTGATAGAGAGAATCTTCGGTTTCCAACGGAAAGGACGTGTCCAATCCCCGCGGAAACCGCTGCTACTCAACACAGAAACAAACTTTAATACATGCAAAATACTGAAGGCGTGGTATTGATGTCTACTAATGAAACCCAGAGATATATCCTCTTCACGGGGCTCGTCCATCTATGATGTACTTTCACAATCCAAATGTCCAAGCGTGTGTGACCTTCTATGTCTGTCTATCCTCGCCGGCCGTCGCACCTCCAGCCTCCCGCTTCATGACCTCAAGATTGAGTCTCCAGCCCCCATAGTGCGTCTAGCTCACACATGATGAAATCAGTCTTGGTCATGACGAAGTCGTGACCGCCAGGGAGCTCCTTCCACACGACGTTGTCCTTGCCGCCCAACAACGGCAAACCGTCCTTGGCATAGTGCTCGACGTCGATGATCTCGTCCGTCCTGCCGATGAACACGGCCGTCGTTCCCTTCGCCCGCCTACCCAGCGCGCGCCACGTCTCGTGCTGGCCCGTCAGCGGCGCCCACCGCACGCACGACATGAAGGCCGGCACGAACCCCCCGTGGTGGGCCACCATCCAGGAGACATACTCGCGCGCCCGCCGCTCGACCTGCACGTCCTCACCGCCGGGTCCTGAGACCTCGGCGGCGGCAACGTCGACGAACTTTTCCGCCGGGTCGCCCTCCTCCGCACCGGCGTTGGCGCGCTTGCGCGCCAGCGGCCGCTGCAGCCTCTTGCGCGTGAAGGCGGCGAGAATCCGTCCGGGGACAAGGCCCGACTGGAACGTTAGCTGGGCGAGGAGGCCAAAGTTCTCGGCGCGGATGAGTCCGGCGGGCGCCAGCAGCACGAGGCTCTCGACCATGTGCGGGAACGCGGCGGCAAAGGAGGCGGCGACGGCGCCACCCAGGGAGTAGCCGATGACCCGAACGGAGTTGGTGCCGGACCAGGCGAGCGGGGAGGAGGCGAGGGCAAGGAGTACCTGGGTGGTGTACAGGCGGGCGTCGTGGGGGAGGTCGCCGACGCCGTCGGAGAAGCCACGGCCGAAGAGGTCAAACATCATGACGCGGCAGCCCCGGGCAGCAAGGGCGTGGGCAATGCGGCCGAGGGTCATGCACGAGGTGCTGATCCCGTGGATGAGAACGACCTTAGAGCCAGTAGTGGGGCCGAACTCGTAGACCCGAATGGAGCCATACTGGGTGAGCATATTTAGCCATGTACTGATCGGTTGCTTTGTCGTCTGTGTGACAAGTGGGAGAGGACGGGGGGAGAGAAGGGCGTCTCACAGGCGTTTCAACATCCCGTGCACCTGGGAAGGAGTCTGGTCGATAAGGAAGCTTCTTAACCTCGTCGCCCGAGAGCTTGGACAATTTGGTCTTGAGAGGGTTAGGGATGGCGGTGCCCCAATTGGGATAGAGGCTGAGCCGGGCAAGAGATAAGAAGGAGAGCGTGGCGACGACGGTTGTCGCGACGATTGCCGCCGTCCGCGGTTCAACGGATGGGATGAAGAGAGACTCCATGGCGCTGGATATCCAAGCGTGTTGTGAGATATCAGGATCGGTATATGCCCTTTAGATAATGAGAAGTGGAGGAACGGGCGGAGAGGGAAGCTCACGGAGCCCCGTAGGAGCTTTCTGAGACGATTTGCAGATGAGCCCGGCTTTCAATATTCCGAGGGCTATGCGGTGAGTGATTCACGACAATCACTGCAGTCGATGCGTCTATAGCCTAGCAAGCCCTGATGCGTTGTCGTTGTGTAACCGAATGAGGCTGATACTGAGCCCAGCTTGGATGTATGTTTAGTGGAGAGCGGAAGTCCTACGCGTTGGTGGATCTTTCCCATTTGTACGGATACTCCGTACCTAAACCTAAACTCAAGAAACTATTGTAGCCAGGTACCACGTGGTTCCTATTTGTATCGAAAAAGTGGAGACGAACTACCTAACCCTCCTTATCAGCTGGCAGGTGGCGGCCAGCACTGAATGGCATTTGATGGGATGCCTGATAAACCACATCCAACAACACACATTTCACCTCTGACAGTGCTCTCTTTCCGTTCCGACTTCGCTTTATTCCACTTTCTTCCAATGCAGATTGAAATCGGATCAATGTGGGTCAAATGCACGTGAATGGAGAACAATGCCGCATCAATGGGCCAGTCATGCCATCCTCTTCCACTTGGAGATTGTTACCTGAAGGGCTGGCTCGAGACAGTATAGCAACTCCGGACAACAAGGTGACAATCCACACACGACTGCAACATGGACAAGTAGACAGCAATGGAAACACCCGTTCCTCCAAATTTGACCACAGTATGCCGACCAGTCCTAATATAAGTCGTAACGCTTTGTCTTACCATGTTTCATTATATCTTGAGCGGATGACATCATACGGCTTTCGTACCCGCGACGCTACGACCTCCACAACGACGTCGCCGAACTGTTCCGACGCGCGGGAGCCCACGCGGATCTGGAGAGTGTTGGTAAAGAAGCTCATCGTGGAGATACCATCAATACTGGAGCGGCTGGTGTCTGCCAGTCCGATGACGACGTCCTGTTGACCCGTCGTTGCTGCCAACACTGTCTCGTATGCAGCAAGGAAGAAGTGTAACGAGGGCGCCCTGAGACGGAGCGCCGAGTCTTTGGAGCGCTGGGATAGTATGCGGCTGTTACCAGTTTCTGACTTGTTGGCGCTATGCCCATGGGTATCGTTCTCATCAAGGGGAACTCTTATGGGACCTACTCTGGACAGAACTTCTTGACAAGCTCTGGGGTCTCCTCCCACGAATTCTCGTACCACCGGTGTCGCCCGGCGGCAACATCGCACAACGTGGTCGTATTAGTGGGTATGGCTCCTTCGCGGCGGCGGCGCTCTCTCCCCGGTCCTGGGCCGCGAGATCTTTCAAAAATCTCTTGATATATGAGAATGTGACCGGCTTAATAATCTGCATGGCCCATTTACATCCCTCAATGCCCACAGCGCCAGATCATTAAGCAACTTATCCCCCAGCGCGGCCGTGAACGCCGCCACGTCGTCTTTCCTATGTCAATGTTCTCACCAACTATAAGCAGGAGATGCCTTAGGTCACGGTGCTGTTGGCCGCAGAAGGTGGTTAAGTGTGCTTGATATTGCCAAGGATACGTATAGGTAATTTCAAGACTTGGCATCACCGGCAAAAACACGGTTCCACGGGCCTATTCAGGGTTCAAGTCCGCGGAAACCCAAAGACGTCAGTGATACACCCACAGTGTTCGCGGGATTGCAACCGATGTCGTTGTACGATGGTACCAGGCCGAAGTTAATTACCCCTGTTAGGTAACCAATGTTCACCCCCCTACTACGGGACTTCACTTTTGATGAATATTCCCCATCTATTCTGATGTCAGCTATGAGGGGTAACATCATAGGGTTAATTAACTTACTCCTGCCACCTTGTATTATGATTGAGACGAGTCATCGCAGGAAATTTGAATTTGCTGGATCAACGAACTGATCCCTGTTGACGTTCCACAGGGGGGGGATTCCAGAGGCTAGCGCGGTAAAGCGCCTCGCTAGTGCGCTGTAGCTCACGTTACGTCGGAGCACTATTGGGAGTCGCCGTGCTCTGGAGGATGCGGGGTCACCTACTTACCCTAACACTGAACAGTAACACGCGGAAAGTCTGAAGTCATGCGGGCAGGGGGGGGGGGATTAGTGGTTGACTTCAGGCTTTCTGCATGTCACTGTACCTACCGACCCCTGAGTGTTTGCAACTGGCAATCACCCTTGAAAAGCTTAACTTGACGCCTCCTGGATACGTCGAAGGTACCGGGCTTTTGGGATTCCGCGTACGGACTTCGAAACTCTCCGCCGTGATTTTGCAATGCAACTAGCTTTTTCTCACAGGAAGGGGACGCGTCTTGTGCACTGTGGACTAGAAAACGTTCCAAGTCTAGAATGAAGTCAACAAAGAGATTCGGTAGCGAGACGGTGTCCTAGTAGGTCAGATGGAGAAGGTAGCTGCCTGCCGGTCACTACCTTTGGCTACTGATATCATGAAACTAAAAGGTTGCAGCGCATATGCAGGGTATCGACTATAGGTCTCAAAAGAAAAGGAAGTGTAATACATAATATGGCAGCAGGCCGTATTTTGGCGCGCAACACCCTTCAACGCCACAAAACGTGCTTTTGGTACAAATATATAAATTCATCCACCGTCCGCCCCAGACTCCCTGCTAGAAACAAAAGGAAAGCGAAAACGAAAACAACAGCCATGCACATGAAAGACGACGCAAGGAATCTTTCAAGACATGCCTACTGCCCAAGCAGCGTGGCCGAGCTGCTTGATAAGAAGACAGAGGTTTTCGACGATGGGCGGATGAAGATCCGACGAGTCTCGAAAGTTGGCCCGGAGAATCTCCTGCGCAACCTCCATACACGCCTTGGGATCGTCAAGAGACGCCTCAGTGGTTCCGGCCCTAGTCATGGGCCCTAGAATCACTGGATGGCCCTGGTTGAACCCAATGAAGCGATGTACCAGGTTCGACTCGGTGCCGTCTAGGAAGACCTTTTCTTGCTCGTATTGCGCAGGCCGGTTCCCGCTCGCCTTTGAAACCACGCCGTATGTCCAGCATGCGAGGGCTGCATGGTGGACGGCTACAGCGTAAAAGTCCTTGAGATGGCCCGGCGGGAACATCTTTGCTTGGCGCAAGATCTGACCCGCGTGCCAGAGGGACTGACGCGCCTCGGCACTCTGCGACCACTCGCGCAGGTCGCCAAAGACCCGGCGGGCTTGGTCCTCGCCCTCTTTGCCCGAGAACAGCTGCAGGTCGTTCAACGAGAGATGTAGGTTCATCATGAGAAGATGCAACACCAAGCTCTCCTGAGCCGAAAGCATCTCGTGCCAGTTGGATGTGACCTGCAGGAAACCCTGCAGATCTTTGCACAATTCGGCATGCCTGGCGCGGAGCACCTCTCCGGATTTAGTCTCAGAGTTCAGCCAAGTCCGGGTGCGCAAGACGGCACAGAGCTGGAGATACTCTAGGATCAGCGCCCAATAACCATGTAAAAAAATCGAGATTGCGAACTGCAAATCCAAGCGTTGGCGATTCGTCGCGAGGAGGTTGATGTCCTTGAAGAGGTCGCAAGTCGAGGGAGGCCGGCTATTCTGCCCAGCGTTTCGTTTGAGGTAGTGGATCTTCCATTCGGTCGCCGTCTTCGCGAACCACAACTCTCTGGCTTCGGGAAGAGGCAAGGTGAGTTCCGAGTATGACATGGATGGGTTGGTAAGCGTGGTCATGGAGGTCTGAGCGTCTCGCACGAAGCAGTGAAAAAGTAGTCTCAATGTGTCAGCACAAGGATATCCCAGACATCGATCGGAACTATGACCTTACCTCTTCCACGACTCACGATCGTACCAGAGCCTCCACTTGTTCTCCAGAACCTCGCCCTCGTCCGAGATGTCGACTTCGATGATGGGATATGATGCCCGCTGGAATTTGCCGCGGTATCTCATCATCTGTGCGCAAGTAGTGTGAGCAACAAGATCCTTAGTAGGCGGGCGGAGATTGTGGTACTTACTGTGATGGGAATCAGAAGATGACATTCAGCAATCTCCATCTTGCGCCGGTTGCCGCTCCACAAGCCGATGTCCTGACCCAAGATCAAGGTCTGCACAAGACCCAAATTTTTGATGGATGTATTGGCGTCCTCGAACCTTGATGGGATAGTGACTCGGACCGCTTCCTGCAGAGCGAACCCAAACTTGCGCAAGGTTTGCACGGGAGTCAGTATGGCCCCAGCAGAGGCAGCGACGGCGAGCCACTCTGGCCATTGAGATTCCATGGAAAAAGAGCCGTGGTGAATCCATTGCGATGTCTGGCAGAAGTGCGCCGCCAGAAAGATGTGGACCAGGCTGTCCATGACCTCTAGTGAGGGGAATGAAGAAGCAACGCGGCTCATGATGCTGTCGTTCTTGCAGGTTGATAAGACGATTGCCAGGATCTGGTCCCTGCCCGACTGATCTAACTTGCCCTTGACAGTTCTGGCATGTTTCTGTCGGCTCTGCTGAAAGGCGGCGCTGGTCGTATCGTCGGGCGGTACGGACAAGTTTGGGTGTTCTACATAACAGGAGTCCGTCTGGGTGGGGGCCCATTGCCACGGCGACTCCGTCCAGACCTTGACCAGAGTCTGTCGCATCTGAGTCAGGTCGATTGAATCATCGGTTTGAGGGGTAAAACTCGGGTCGGATTCGGTGTTGCCCATGGCGTCCATGTTCCAGTGGTCCAGAAGACCAAAGTCCACCTCGTTCAGCTCGAGATTCGAGTTGTCGCAGAAGTCGAGAACGGCTAGTCCCTGCGCCCCTGACATCCTCGATACTTCCATTCCTGGTTCGTAAATGACATTTTGAAGGAAGTCGGAGAAGGGCAAGGACGTGTCAACAGCTGAACTACCGATTTCGAAATTGACCGGAATGGGCTTGTCGCTGACTTGGCCAGTGACGTTATTCCGTGAGGGAAAACGGCCAGATTCCGATTTGGCGTGATGGACGGAGCCCAGCTGACCATTTTCGTCCCTGGGTGGGAGCATGGCTTGCTGGGGATGCTGCTGGTAGACAGTCGAGGGGCTGCTGTCGTAGGCAGACTGTGAAGGGGACGTAGTGAGGGAGCCAGGTGTCGAAGTGGTCGTGTGAGGGTTCCCAGACAAGTGGAGAAGGTGCATGGCAGCTGCAGAGCCGGCTTCGGTGGACGAGTATTCGCAGTTGAGGTTGCGATTGCGACACCGCGTGCAAGGCTTGACCTCCTCGCACTTGACGCGGGCGGTCGCGCAAGGTCGGCATGCGTGAGAGACGCGGCCAGCGCCGGGAGA